GAATTGGGGCTGCCCATGAGATAAAGTAGCAAACAAACAAACAACAAAAAAAAAAAAAAAAGAGAGAAGGACATGAGCATCCCCTCCCCATTCCCACTCTTTCCCAGATCCTCTATTTAAAGAGTCAGTGTTTTCCTATTCATAAATATACTCATGGCCTGTCAGCAGCAGTACAAATATGCTTGGAGCAGAGCCAACAGAACAAAACAAACAGGAATTTCCCCACTCTGTGTTGTAGAAGCCCCTTCTACAGACTTTTCAGTTCAGCCCATGTTGAAGTAAAAGCCAGCAGTTAAAGGAAGAAAAAAAAAATAAGGAAAAAAGAAACTCATTGGTCAAGTCTTAATTCTGTGGGTGTTTGGACCAGAGATATTCTTTTTGCTATTCCTTATTCATATTTTATATGCATTCTTCTACATGAATGAATTGCTTTACATAAAAGATATGAAGCAAAAACAAAATAAATTAAAATTGAAAACCTGGCCCCATGACCACTAAAGTTGGTAAGGATCTAAACAAAGGAAATTCAAAGTTGTTCTGGAGGAATGCTATCATAATCTGGAATTTAAAGGATTTTCACAAGGAGAATTCCCACTCAAGTGGAGCTAAGAATAAAAAAATACAAGCCACTATAGAAAATAAGCCACCATAAGGAGTTTGCTTATTGCAACAAAAGAGAAATAGTGACCCTGAAACAGATATAACAGAAAAATTTTAAATAAGTTTAAAACAGTTAAAGAGGAAAGGTGAGATAAAGAAACTACAATATATAAATAGGTCAGTTTAAAATAAGAGAAAGTAGATTTGTTTAAAAAAAGTAAATTTTCTAAAAATGAAATATAGCCAATGGGATGACAATTCAGTGCAGGTATTAAACACTGGATTAGCAAAGATTAGGAAAGAATTAGTGAATTAGAATATAGATTTGAGGACATCATCCAGAAAATGAAAAAGCACGTGTCATTTGAACACAGTAAGGCACATGAATGATAGAAGGAACAATTCTAATATACATCCAAAAGTAAAGACTGGAAGAAGTGAGGAAAAACTGAAGATTTACAAATTGAAAACTTCAGGTAAAGAAAGCTGAATAAATAAAACTCATAATTTTACACTGATACCCAATCAGAAAAAGTCATTAAAAAATTTCTAATCAATATCTCAGGAATACCAAATAAAAAATTCTCACAAAATTTAAACAAGTTGAATATAGCAATTTTTATAGAAAGGAGAATATAAGATGACCAAATAAAATTAATGCAACAAACAAAAAGTGGTTCAATATTTGAAAAATCAATCATTTAATACACAATATCAATAATTTTAAAAAGAAAAACTATAGGACCATTTTAATAGAAGCAGAAAAAGCATTTGACAAGATGCAAAATGTTCATTCATGGTAGAAAGTCTGAGAAAATTAGGACTGAAACTTCCCTAACCTGACAAAGGACATCTATTAAGTCTACAGGACACAGTTGTTGAAATACCAAATGTCTCCCCCATATGATTGCAAAGGAGACCATGATTTCTACTTTCACTGTTACAGTTCAGTATTGTAGTGGCAGTCTTAGCCAGTGTGATAGCACTAGAATTGAAATACAAGCCATACAGATTATAAAGGAAGAAATAAGAGTGTCTCTATTTATAGTTTCACATACAGATTTCAAAAGGGTCTATTATATATTCATTAAATGCTTCTCAGTACCATTACTTCAGGTTTTTGAGTATTGATATTTTATTAGAATAATAGAAAATCATAAGATAGATTTCTTTAAAGTAGTTTATAATTCAGAAAGTTTAATTCTTATGACTTCCTTCACTTAAACAGAAATAATCTTTTCTTTTGTTTATATTTTTTTCTGAAAACTCTCTTATGCCCTCTGCTGTCCATTTTTTAACATAAATCAATAAAATTCATTTAGATGATAAAAAGTCTTTAATTGAGTCAGTCTTAGGGAACAATATATGCTGAGAAACATATTTTTTTCCCTTATTGTAGTAATCAACATATGACACAGCTAGACCACTCCTTGGTATTTATTCTAAAGAGCAAAAGTCAGCATACTATAGAAATACAGGCATATCCATGATTATAGCTGCACAACTCACAATAGTCAAACTATGGAACCTGCCTTGGTGTCCATCATTAGATGAATGAATAAAGAAAATGTAGTTTATATACAGAGTGGAGTTTTATTCAGCCATAAAGAAGAATAAAATTTATCATTTGCAGGAAAATAGATGGAACTTAAAAACATTATGTTAAGTGAAATAATCCAAACTCAGAAAGTCAAGGATGGTATGTTTTCTCTCATATGTGGAAGCCAGAGAGAAAAAAGGTTGGGGAAGAGAGGAACCTCATGAAAACAGAAGAGAGACCAGTAGAGTAGAGCAAGAGGAGCAAGGGAAGGGAGGAGGGGAGAAAATGGGGAGGTGCTGGGGAATGAAACTGACCAACTTACATTTTTCTATTGTGTACACATACAAATATGTAATAATGAATCTCACTATTATGTATAATTATAAAAAGAAAAAAGGAAAACTTTTTTCTTATTATGTTAAATATGTTCACTATTGATAACATGCAAAAAATGTAATCACTCATAATCTCATTGCTTAGAGACAGCCACTATTATCAAGTGGTGTATATCCTCTTTCTGGAATTGTTTCTATATAATATAATTTTATATGAAATTCATTATTATTACAGAATTGGAATAATACTATATATACAATTTGGTATTTACTGTTTTTACTTAACATTTTGTTATGGAATATTTCTCATACCATTTACTCAATTTCAAAATACAATTTTTAAATTGTTGCAAAATATTACAACTGTTTACTAATTTAGGTAATGCTCTCTTTTAGAGGGGTGTTCAAATTGATGTGACTCTTTGATTTTCTAAGTAGCACTGTAAAACAAAATTCATTAACATTCCTTTTTCTAGGCTTACATTCCAAAAAGCACAATTTCTGGCCATAGATACACATATTTTTAAGGCTTTTCATGCTTATTGATGAAATGAAAAGTTTGTTTAATGCATATGAGAAGCATACATTCATGACCATGGAAATGGCTTGTTTAAAACTGAAGAGATAAAAATATCTTGCAAGTAAACTACAAACAAGAATAAAACATTATATCTGATACTCTATTTATGAAGTGAATATTTTCTTCTTTTCTCAAAGGTGTCAGAAATTAGGACTTTTTGGCAGAATGGTAAGAGGGGCAGAGCTTCTAACTGCTTAATCTTAATGTTTCTCAATCTGTTTCTTCAACTATAATGCAAAAAGAATAACAATTGTCCTCCAAAATAAAGAGTGTTTTGTGAGGATACAGTGACAAGATGCAGGTGAACATGTTTTGAAAACTATAATGTCATACAGATGGAAAGTACATTCTTTATTAGTCACTCCTGACATACAGACAGATTTCATACTTATTAGGCTGTTTTACATAAATCTTAATATCAGTAATTTTCCAAATTCTCAACCTCACATAATCATGAAGTATTCTCTATTTTATTAACTTTATTTCAAAATAGTGAAATTACTTCATTACATAGACAGTTATGGCTCAACTGCCAATTCCATTAACTTAGTTTGTCTCCAAAAAGGAAAAATAACCATATAAGTAATTACTTATTAAGGATTCATATTTCATCTAAAAATATCTAGCACTTCTGCAGCAAATTTGAGTGCATTCTCAACTTGTTTAATCCAATTCCTTTTTAAATTTTCTTTTGAAAAATTTGAAACTTGAAATCAATGGATTTGCCTGTTGGTTTTCATAAAAAGATACTTTGAAGATTAATCTGAATAATTATGACCAAATTATTCATTCTGTGGGCCTTTGCAGAACCTAAAAGCTAGCACCTATCTTGAGTCTTCATTAAATGAACAATATGGAGGGAGGAAGGACTAAGGACAGAAGAAAAGGGAAACTTAAGAAAGCATTGAATTTTTAAAAAGGTGTTACCAGCAAAGAACCTGTAACTAGGACTCAGGAGAACTTTAATCCAGTCTCTCTTTCCACTCTACCACCATAGCTCCCAAGAACTCTGGTCATTGCACTTGGGTAAGGGCTACAAGTTTTGAAAGCATTCATTTTCAGCACTTGTGTTTCATTAAACTTTATTGTTTGTTGGTGTCTTGACTAAGGAATTTATGGGATGATTTGTAGAAGGAGAGAGGCAGAGAAAGAAGAGAGATCAGGCAGATAAAAAGGAAATAAGTCTCTCACCCCCCACCCTCTTTTTTTTTTTTTACCTTCATAAAATAATAAAATAGAAAAACAAGAGAGACCTTATAGAGTCACTTAGTACAATCCATCTTTACCTTAACATAGAAGAAACAGGACCATGTGATGCAGATAAACCAATGGCAGAACCAGGAAAATAATCTGACCCCTAGATTTATGCTTTTTCCCCCGAATCTGGTTGACCCTCTCCTTTTTAGTATTTTATTTTAGACCTCAAACTGAGGATCTTTTGTAATCCAAGAGAGCAATGCTGTTCTCAAAATAAGTTCTGATCTCTCAAAACTGTCTTGGTAAGTTAGAATCAATGTTGTCCCTAAAATAAAAATACAGAACCTTACATTGCAATTTGTAGACTGTGCACTATTACCATCCTTTATCTCATTTGATCCTCTGAAGTAAGGCAAGGAAAATATCATTGTCCTTATTTGAAAAGCGAGCATTTTATTTGAACCCCAAAGATATCCAATGATTGGAGTAAGGTCACTTACATCGGGGAGAGCCAGGACTCTAACGCTAGTCCTATACTCTCTTCGCCACAGAAGAAGGAGTTTCCTTAAAAGGCACCAATGTTACTCTATTTCTTGACACAGGATTCTCCATCCCAGGGGGACCCCGCCCCCCCCCCCCACCTCGCCTCCACACACACAAACTAGTTTAGCGAAGCTTGGTTTAGCCACCCAGAAGGGACTTCTATTTTGCACCTAATTCTCGTCTTTTAGAAAGAGCAGTTTCTTACCCCTTCCCTTGGTCCTGATCCTTATTTAGGCTCCTAGTTTTCTTTTGGGGGTTTGACCTCCTGGATCTCACTCCAAAGCTCCGCCCTCTCCTGAGGAGAAGTCGCGTCCTTGGTCTCCAAGGTGACCACGCAGCTTTACCCTTACCCCTCCCACTCTTTCCATTGGCCAGCAGGATTCTCATGTAGATTTACCCCCCTCCCCCCGCCCCCCGCTCATCCCTCCAATGGCCAATGGGTTTGACTTACAGGTCGCGCGCCTTTCTCAGAAGAGGCCAACACTCCAGCACAGGACCCTTACTCTCCCACGCATTGCCTCCTGGGATATGTAATTTTTAAACCGCCAGAACGTCTTGACGTCTTGCTTTTTCAGAACTACCTATCCCGTTGGCCTTCGCGAAAGGGGCGGAAGTAAGCTAGGAGTGCTCCTCTGAAATTTGTATTTACAGCTTTCAAATTCCGGTTTACCATTGCCCTGCCGCTGAGATTTAAATCGCCTAGTTAAGTGAATGGGCTCGCTCTAGCTTCAGCAAATCCTCCTTTTTGACTAGTAGCAGCTCGGTGCTTAAGTCGATTGGCCCTGGCAAGGGACGCCGCGGGTGTGGTTGAGGTGTTCCTAGGGAGGGCGAGAGAGGGGCGAGTCATGTTCGCCTCCAGCTCTGGCTGGGGACTTGGCTGCCTCACGCTTGGTCAGCTCCGAGTGTGGGCCGGTGCTGGGCTCTGGACTCTAAGGGCCTGCCAGGCCAGGCCGTACTGCTCAGCTGGTGGCGAGCGGCGGCTGGGATCCGAACCAGAGGCCTCTCTGCCTGGCCCAGCGCGCCGGACTCTGAAGGAGTGGACGCTGCTGGTTAGCCCATTTGGTCGGCTGCGGGTGCGGCTCCCTTGCCACCTGTCTGTGAGGCCCCTGGACCCCCTCACTTACCCCGATGGCAACCGCCTGCTGGTCGCGGTGTGCGGCGTGGAGGGCGGATCACTGGGCCTGAATGACCTGCAGGTGAAGTACGACGAGGCCCTGCAGGAGGTGGCCATCGTGTCTGACACCGTGGACCCCCAGGCGTCGGTGGAGGTGAACGCACCCCTGAAGTTTGGCAAGTGAAGTTTGGGCCCCAGAGCACAAACACAGTGACCTTCTTAAATTAGACCAAGTTAGGCGAACGTGCATTTGCCTCTTTGAACTTGACTTTCTAACCTAATTTACAGTTGGCCCCTTTTCTTCTGCACTACTGAGTTCTGAGAAGTATTTAAGAATTAGGTTCCTAATGAAGTAATAAATAAATAAATAGAATGCAAACATGTTTTGGAATAATCCCAAATAATATTTGTGGAGACCCATATGTTTTCGTTTGTCACATTGTCATTAACAAACTGTTTTACTTTTTGGGGGTTGAGGTTTATTGATAATCCATTCAATGGTATGGCAACCCATCTATCTTTCCCCTTGCTTTTCCTTCTCTCCTTGCGGTCCCCACACAACATCTTATCTATGGGCTGTTCCATACCTAACCTGGAGCAAGTATCTGGTTTCAGAGAGGCACCTAGCTTCTTACTGATGTCTCTGGTTCTTTTTGGCCAAAGTTCTCCAGGAGTAGCAAGCTTTAAAGAAAAACACATAGTAAGATTGCCTGAGAAACTTCAGAAATAATGCCTGCATCATATATTTCCTAGGTGTTTGGGTTGTGTTATTTCTTAAATCAAGACACCAGGAAGGGCTCCACAGGCTCTCTTTCTTCCAGAGATTGAAGGATGATATTGATGGTGATCATAATAATAACAATCATCATTTCTAAAATAATCTTTTCTAATCCTCTCTGTAAAGTAGATGATGTTATTGTCACCATTCCAGATGAGGAAATTGGAATAAAGGGAGTATCATAAAGTAAATATTTATTGTGAAACATAAATCATAAGAAACATTTCATGGATTTGAGAAACTTACATTCTGGTTGGGGGGTTGGGGTGTATTTAAGAAATGTCTTCTTTCTCTTAGATATAAAGTGGTAGAGTTGGAATTTGAATTGACCAGAATCCACCCATCCACTTTGCTTCTGAATTTATTTTAACCAGCCTAGATGACTAAGAGACCCTCTAAAAATATCTGGAAGGTGCTGGGGGAGATTTACCCATAGTACAAATAAGACTGAGTGTTTAAGTACAGCTAAGCAAAATTTATGGCAGCACAGATGAAAATAGATACTACCTTTGTTGATGATTCCAAATTTCATTATTTGTTGCTGACTCTTTGTAGTGTCAGAGCTCTGCTTTTAAGTTACTGTTTTCATATCTATTCCCCAGTTCCCTCAAATCTCTATAACTTGGTTTTCTTCATACTGTTCCTTTACTTTGTCTATTACCTATTTCAGTGAATGGATGAAAGCAGCACTACTATCACTGTCTAGCTTTAATTTCTCCACCTACCTATCAAATGCAGTGTATCTGTGTCAGTCATCTTTCTGTCACTGTAACAAAATAACTGAAAGAAAGAAAGGAGGAAAGATTTACTTTGGTAATGGTTTCAGAGATTTCAGTCCATGGTCAGTTGGCCCCATTGCTGTGGCCTTGTGGTGAGGCAGAACATTATGGCAGGGAAAGGCATGGTGGAAACCAAGCTGCTCACCTCATCATGGCCAGGAAGTACACACAGAAAGAAAAGGGTGGGGACAAGATAAACCCTTCACAGGCACACCCCCAGTGACCTTCTTCCTTCATCTAGGTACTACTCCTAGTTTTTCACTACCTACCAGTTACCACAAGCTGGGAGCCAATTCTTTAATACATAAGTCTTTGGGGGACATTTTAAATCCAAACTATAATATTATCTTTAGAATCTTCCTCTTCACTACATATTAACCTGTGCTGCCTCAGATCCAGGTATATGTTGTAACATTACTGGGAAATAAATTTTATAGTTATATTTGCATCCATGTTTATGTGGCATAAAATTATCTTTTTATATATTCTCACTTAATCTCAGCCAAAATATTGGTGTTATTTTAAGCCTTTACAGAGATTGCTCTGAAACTGTTTTGGTGCTGTAACTATTGAAATTGTGGCATTAGCCCCCAATAGTTTGTGTTTGGAGGAACATAGTGTTTACTTCTACAGTCTACATTAAGGAAAATCATCAATATTTATGTAAATTAAGTATTAAACATCAGTGTTCTTAATTATTTTATTTTTATACAGAGATACCTAAGGTTATGCCTTAAATTGACAAAGATGGTACCTGTGATTCCTTATTTTCTAAACTTTCTTCATATAACACTCTTATTTATCCACAATCTTATAGTTTTAATACTGTTTAATTAAATTTTTCAAAGTGATTCTCATTTTAAAAAAATATTTCAAGTACTTTGTGATGTATCTTCATGGCAATATTCTCAGTTTTTAAGGCTTGAAAGGTTCAAGTTAGGATTTGAAACCTAAATCATAATCTTATGTACTAATTCATGCTGCTCCTGTAATTTGGGGGAGATGGTTAGAGAAGAATCTTTAAATCTTCCTGAATATAAGAGAGACTAGGCTGACTGACTTAACTGACTTATGATATTGACTCATTAACTCACTGTATTATTCATTCATATGTATATTGGGGGTATTTCTCAGGGCTAAGAGGCTTCTGTGATCTTCCATATGAAACATGAGTAACTACAAGAACTGCAGTCACTTGCCTCCTTTAATTCCCATCTGTGTTACTTCCTCTTTTTAGATGATAGAGGCCAACAGAAGAAATTATTTCTAAATACTGGCAGAAAGGTCATTACATTTGATCCTGTTACCACCTTTAGAGAGAGACTGTTAAAAAGATTCTGTCCCAGGATTTTGTAATATTCTGGACATAATTGAGACGCTGAATTTCTAGGGAGTGCTAAAATGCTTTGGAACCACTAAGACTAACTTGTTTTCTTCTTCTTCTTCTTCTTTTTTTAACTTCTAGATTTGAATATCAAGTCATCAGGGTCTGGCTGTGTAAAAGTCCAAAATATTCAGTGTGATAATTGCAAAATTGAAACTGAACAGGGAACCAGCATCTTACAGTCTGTTAAGGTATAAGCATTTTCCTAGTTCTGTTTCAGTTAAAAAACAAATAAACCTTGAACTGTGAACTCTAGTATCAAACTAAAGAGATGATTCTTTTTTTCAGAATATTATAATTTATTCATCAGTCAGAAATTCTTTGCAAACATTATGCCTTGACAGCTGTTCTCTTTTGAAAGTACAGATGTTGTAGCAGCTTTGAAGGTTTTACCTCATATTTCTTTGAGATCTCATTTCAAAGCATACAGTGAAACTCAAGAGTATATATTCTTAGTATTCTGAGATCTTTATGAAGTTATTTAGTCTTCACAGTTGTTTTCTTCTGTTTATTAAAAAGTAAGGAATAGCCTTTTTATGCACTAGAAATGTGCTTGAAATATTAGGTTACTTTAATCATGTTTTTAATGTACCAGGTAGCTGTTTTACTTAGAGACTAATAACTATGTATGCAAAACAGATGATTCATCTTGTTTTATAATTAACATTTTTATATTTTATTTTCTTAAAATTAGATCAATCTTAACTGTAAATGATTTGCAATAAATCTCTGATACGTAACTTGTCATTATTCCTAGTAATGTTATATTCTAGCACTTGCATAATCAAAATGCAATACCTTTGCAAACTTTGATTGAAGGTAATTTTATTGAAGTGAACTCAGTCATCTTTGCTTTACAATTATAAAACTTTTTCCTTTTTAGATCTAAAACAATTTTTAGGGTGATTAAGTTGATGAATTTTTATTTTCACATCAGTTTTTTATCCATCTTTATTTGCATATGAACTATTTTAAATAAATTTAGTTGTACAAACATAAAGAATTAAGAATATCTGCCAGATGTTGTGGTGCATGCCTATAGTCCCAGCAGCGCATGAGGCTGAGGCAAGAGGATCACAAGTTCAAAGCCAGCCATAGCAACTTATTGAGGCCCTAAGCAACTCAGCAAGACTCTGTCTCTAAATAAAATTTTTAAAAAGGGGCTGGAGAGATGGCTCACTGGTTAAGCACCCCTGGGTTCAATCCCTGGTACCAAAAAATAAAATACAGGATTAAGAATATCTTGACATAAAAAGATTGCACAATGAAATCCTCATCTTGAATGGATTAACTGGCTGAGAATACCACAGTTCCTTTTGTCCTTAGAAATATATTGTTCACTCATTGATACTTAAGTTTTGGAGAACTAAGGTAGAATACCGTACTCTGAAGACTCAGAGTTTGGGATTTCCAATTTCATGATGGAAATTAGAATCTAGAATGCTGCTATCTTTATTTTTGCTGTCATTATTTTTTTCATCTAGTAAATTTGAAAGATCTTTCTCAGCTTTTCTTTTTGCCATTTTGTGTATTAAAAAAGTTGGTTTCTCCACCTTGTCACTAGGGACATTTTGTGTCAAATAATTTTTTTCTTTGTGGGGGTATGCCCTGCGCAGAGTAGGTTGTTTAGCACCACCTCTGGTCTCTACCTTCTAAATGTCAGAAGAATACTCTTTGGTTATGATAAAGAAAACATCTCTATATGTTCCCAAATGTCCCCAGGGAGAGAAAATCACCTCCAGTTGAAAAACATTCCATCATTCTTTTGATTTCCTATTCTTTTAGTTTGTCTGTCTGTCTGTCTCTCTCTAGCATAGTTGGGAATAATCAATGAATAATAATTAAATAATTCCCAGGAGAATGAAATTTTACAAGACATATTAAAAATAAGAACACTGTTATCCTAAACATATTTTAGATTTATAGAGTTCATTGGATTATTACAGTAATTTCAAGATAGAGTGAGTTTAATTCTATTTTTAAAAAATAAGTAAATTTTCTGTTTGTTTTTTGAAAGACTTCTAAGAAAGAATAAAAATCATGAAATATCAATTCTTATAAATAAAATGACTGAAAAAAGAAACTCTAAAACTAAAACTGGGCCTTTGGGTGCTCTGGTGTACTAAGGGTTAAGGTAATTATTCTTGAGATCTTAGGATTTAACTGACTTAAATTCACAAAGCAGAACACTTTGGTAAAATATCTGGTTTAAGTTTTTAATATGGTACAATATTATTACCTTAATTAGTGGCCACCTTTTAATATAAATTTCTTTCACTTATTTTAAGGTCTTTTTTGTGTATGTGTGGTGCTAGGGATTGAACCCAGGGCCTTGTGCATGTGAGGCAAGCACTCTACCAACTGAATTATATCCCAAGCCCCAATTTAAGGTCTTCTGTAGAGTTCTGTTTAATAAAATTTATAGCAATAATAATTACTGCTAATGAGTCCTTATTATGTTCCAACTAAACCTCTGTTTGATCCTTGAAGCATCTCTATTTTCTCAAGAAACTAGGAGGCATTAAAAGACTAAGGAACTCACTTGAGTTTATACAGCTAAAAAATTTGATCTTGAATCTTCCTGATCTTTAAACTCATGCTTTTTCTACCCTGTCAAAAAACATATGGCAATACCATATTTATTCAGCATCCTTAGAGATTAGGTAAATAAATTTTTAGGCAACTGACCCTTAACTCATTGAATGCCACACATTTGCTTAAAAAAGAGTGTAATAATTTTGTTTTCTAAATAATTTCTGATTTAAATATCTATTTGTCTATTTTCACTACCTGGTTTTATTTATCTTTAAAATTTTTCACATTTTGGGGTAATTAGATGAGCTTTAAATTTTAACAGTAGCTCAGTGTTTTTGAGCCCCTTTGACCTCTTAGAAAATCTCATGATTGTCCTCTTAGAAAAAAATACACATGTATATGAAATTTTTCTTATGATTTCATAAATTTCACAAACTCTTGAAATCCATGGAATCTCAACAGTTGTTTCCTTTTTGAAAATCCATTTTGCCTGATGATGCATATATTATATTTAATTTGATTTTAGACTCATGTCTCTTTGGGCATAAAGTTAACCATACTATCTATGATACAAATACTTTGGAGAATGATTCATTCTGCTCTTTTCACTCAATATTTTAAAAATTGATTTCTAGGCTCTTTTACCTGAAGTTGAACTATTTCCCCCCAGAAGCTCCATGGTTGTTTTGAAATTTTGAGTCCTTACCGTTTAGACATTTTTCTGCAGTGGCTGGTCATAATGGTGATTTTGCTTTTGTTGTTTTTTTTCAGCCTTGACAGCTTCTGCTATTTACCTATTTTTTCTCTCTTTATAATTATAGCAGAACTGAAGGCATGTAGTAGTTCAGGGAAAGTAAATTACGCTAAAAAATAGACCGAACATCTATTAGCTCAGGTACAATTTTAATTTCTCACTTGTGCCCAAGTGTGCTGAGGTGGGGGGGCTCTCTTCCATTCAATGATTCTATTATCTTCTGGCTCCGCCATCTCTCTCTGAGGCTTGTAAACTGCACTCATCTGTTGGAAGAGGATGAGGACAGAGAAGGCACACCTATTCTTCTAAAAACACCGGCCTAGAAATGACACATAGCTTTTCTGCTTATATTCTGTTGGCAAAAACTTAGCAACACCTAAGAGGAAAGGGGAGCTGAAAAATGGTCTTATCATGGGTCCAGCAACACTGTTTTTACTTGGGGGGCAGGGGAGATTTGGGTAGACTAATGGTAGTGTTTGCCACAGTTGCCAAGTGTGAATCAAAGTACACACAATTTTTGTGTGCATGTGCATGAGAGAGAGAGAGAGAGAGAGAAAGAGAGAACTGGCTTGTGACTGTTTTATTTGTGCTTGGAGGCATTTTTCACTCGGTTTCAGTTTCTGCTGTGTGTTATTCTGTAAGGTTTAACAATAGCCTGTTACCATAGGTGTAATCTGCCCTTCTCCAGAGTATGGGCTTTGGAATCATATAGAGCTGGATTCTAATTTAAGTTAGATTTTGTCACCCTGATAAAGTTTATGTTTGTTTGTTTCCCAGCACTGGGGATCAAACACAGAGCCTTGTACATTCAGAGCCTTACACATGCTAGGAAAGTGCTCTCCTCCTGAGCTACACCCCCAGGCCTTATTTTGGGACAGGGACTGGTTGAGTTGCCCAGGCTGGCCTTAAACTTGCAATCCTTCTGCCTCAGCCTCCCCAGTAGCTGAGGTGTGTACCACCATTCTTGTCTCATGCTTTCTGAGTTTTGATTTTCTTCCCCTATAGAATGGGAAAAATACCCATCTCTCTTATTGTGAGGATCAAATGATAAAGTTCATATAAAATAAGTAAACTTGTTTGGAGTACTGAAAAACTGCCAAGTAAGTGATAACTATTAATAATAATGATGAATATTAACAATGATTAATGTGGTCATCTTCTTCAGTGGTGTTTTGCTTTCTGGTCACAGTGATCTTCAACTCCCAAACCCTTCTTCAGTGAGGCTACTGGAATATTCACATCTCTTCTTTTTCCCTATGAGTACAGGTGTTTAATCTCTTTAACAGCAGCTAACATTTTCTTCCAGTTGATATTATGATTCCAAACAATGAATTTCTATTTCATTTCTTGATTCTTTTGCTTCTTTATTATTAATAAAAAAGAAATGTTTCATTAGTGTAAGTCAAACATTCTTTTTCTGTATGTGTATTTTTATATTTATCTTTCAGGGTCAAAAACTACATGTTAAAACAAAAGGAGGCAGAGTGATCTCTCTGGGAACAGTTTATGGAAATATAGATATTCATGCATCAAATAAAAGTGTAAGATTGAAATTTTCTTTTTTTCACAATTGCAATATTGCTTCCAGTGAGCTCACAAAATGGGTAGCTTCTGTAGGATTTGTGCTGTGATATTGCGTTTTTAATACATTTTGTTTCAAATTCAAGTTTGGAATTGAGGTGATTAAATATTGTGCAATTTAAAATTTAGTTTGTGATTTAATACTTTTGACAGTTATTTAATTCATTATTTGTAATCAGTAAAAACTTAAATACTTACACTTTAATTCTGAAGAGATTTTTAATTGATTATCATTGATTAAAATATTTCATACTATTAGTATCTGGATTGGGTTTTTCTTGTTTGCTTGTGTGTGGTACTTTCCAAGACCTGTTTACTTTGCCATTAGACCAACTGAAGGACAAGGTTTGAAACTCAATTTTCTTCATTATTTTCCACAAGGTGGCATCATTAGATAGCTTTACTGCCTTCCAAAAGTTTTTTTTTTTTTTTTTGTAGGAAGATTGTATTTTAAATTAATTTTCTTATTGTTTCCTGTGATTTAGTATTAAGAGCTCAGGTCTAATTTTGGAAGTATAAGTTGTCACCTTTTAAAAATATGACTAGCAATGTTTTAAATTTTTTTGAAAACCCTTGGTCTTGGGCTGGGATTGTGGCTTAGTGGTGGATCTTGCTTAGCACATGTGAGGCACTGGGTTTGATCCTCAGCACCACATAAAAATAAATAAATAGCTGAATGTTTTCTCTGAGATAAGGAGGCTGATTCATAGTGGGGTTGGGAGGGGGAGCACGGGAATATTAGAGGAACTCTAGATAGGACAAAGGGGAGGGAGAGGAAGGGAGTGGGCAAGGGGTATAAAAAAGATTGTGGAATGAGATGGACATCATTACCCAAAGCACATGTATGAAGACACAAATGTTGTGAATATACTTTGTATACAACCAGAGATATGAAAAATTGTGTTATATATGTGTAATAGGAATTGTAATGCATTCTATTGTCATATATAACAAATTAGAATAAAACATTTAAAAATAAATAAATAAATAAAACATTGGGCTAATGATGAGATTTAAAAAAAAAAAAAAAACAACCTTGGTCTCCTCTTGTTTCTGACTTTTACAATTTGCAATGATTTTTTGTTATAAATTTGCTAAATTTCATAGCCAGCTTTATTCTTCCATAGTTGGAGGGGAGTAATTGTGAGCATATCTCGTAGGGTAAGTGTTGCTGGTGTAATTAAACAAAGTGGAGTATGGGACTCTTTCTGTTGTTATTTTCAATCACCTTTCTCTTATGACTTGTGGGAGCCTGTTTAAATCCAAATATTTGAGTGTACCCAACTGCCTTTTAAATTAAACTAGGAAAGTTCTGAAAGACATTGTGGCCCTTGATGACAGCCCTTTTTAGATGGCATTTAGTCAGATTTCTGTGGTTTAGATATGAAAGAGGGAAATTGGACAACTTTGCAGCTCCTTCAAGTTCATTCCTTTAATTGATGGCTAATGTTACTTGAAATGATATTTGAGCTACCAGAATATTACGTATTTATATTCAAATAAAAGTATCAATGTTTAAATCAGCTCTCATTTATTTGCTATTTTGAATAATTTGGCCATTCATTAGTTAGTTATTTGCTCCAACTTTCATGGTTTATTGAATATTTATTTATTCCTACTTCCTATTACACTATTTTGCTTCCTGCCTGATTGACTTTTGTAGACCCAAAGATTCAGTCTAGATTTTCTTCTATTTTTATTATATATAGTGTTAATTTATAAAGCATATTCCTAAGCCTGCAGTTTTTTAAAAAGAACATATAAAGTAAATAAGAAATTCATTAACTTTTAATATACAACTTTCATACATATGTGTCTTGGAAATTTGAAAGGCAGCATAGGGAATTGGTTAAGAGCACAAAATTGAGAACCAAATATTTGAATCCTGGTCCAGCCTCTGTATCCTTAGACAAGTTTCTAATGGATTTAATTCAGTGGGTTGTTATGAGGATTGAGCTAATCCAGGTAGAGTACTTAATGTCTAACACATAGCTAACTCTAACATAATGCTTGCCATGTTAGTGATAAAGATGAAGGAATTGCAAGAACGATTACTTGACCAGTCCTAGATCTATCACTTTATTTCTCTGAGCCTCCATTTTATTATTCAGAAAATAAGGATGGTAGTATTTGCTTTTCATACTCAATAAGATTGTGAAAGTTAAATGAGCCTTATAAACAGTAGCATCATTACATTGCCATGTTAAAATTATATCATTTATTTTAGTGTCCTAAATTTAGTTTTATAACAACCGAGAATATAAAAATCAATTTCAGCTGACTATTGGGTGAGTTGATGACATAGTTGTCAGTTTCCTTTCTTTCTTAGTCTGAGCTACAAAGCCACAGTACTTCCTTATAATTTATTTGTAATAACTATATAGTATATATGTATACTATCTAAACTTAGGAAAAAATTTCCTTCTTATATAGAAAAGAAAATTAATTTATAACAATACCTTTGTCAGGAAGGCATTGGTTTTTGGATCTGCTGTTGATTCTGTTTTTAAATAGGTATTTTCAATAAAAAGCAAACTCAACAGTGTAGAAAACCTATTTGTGACACTTCTTTCCATTAACATTTCATGACTGTAAGTCAGAGCCTCAATATTTTACTGTAAATTGTGCTGTCCTAAATTTAATTGTTCTAGTTAGTGTCTGATATAGTGCATTATATATGGCCCTCTGAGAATTTTGAATTTCTTTGCAATTTTGTGGAATGCCTTGTTAATATTGTAAGGGGAGTTGTTATGGTTTCACTTGATTTCATAGGGCAGAATATTTTTTCTAGCTTCCTAGAAAGTATAATATTTAGTGTCTACTGAACAATATAAATCTTTGGCATTTTCCAGATACTTTCAAGAAGTCTTGAAAGCTTTATTTGGTTGTTGAGAGAGTCTAAATCATAAGTGTTCCTTTGCAAATTTAATTAAGTTTCAAATTTCTTTTCAATATTTATCTTTTGGTGTTTTCTAAAATGGCCTCATTATCTATAAAAAGCCAGACTTTTTGCCTGCTTTATGGAAATAATTGGAGAATTTTATTCATAAAGCAATTTTTCAAATAGAGCATTTGAGCATAAAGTACCTTTCATGAAGAGCCTTTAAAGGATAATATTTTTCAGGAGTTTTATACCTTTACTATAAGACCAAGGAAGTCAAAAATTTGTATTCTCACAAATTTGGTTATAGGTAAAATATCTATCTATCTTTGACAGACTTATTGAAATTAGATTTAAAGAAAAATTCCTCTCAATCCATAATTAAATAAAAAGAAACTGTAGTAGTTAAGAAGCAAGTAGGGCTATATTGTATACTTAATAACTGCCCTTTAGAAAAGAAAGTTATATACTTTAAATCCAGAAGAGAAAGTAATTCTAATTTATCTCCCATAAGACCTCTACATACTTTTCTTTCTCTTTTTGCACTTTTACTTTTCTTCTTATTTTCCCAGAGGGCCATATATAATGCACTGTATCAGATACTAACTAGAACAATTAAATTTAGGACAGCACAATTTACAGTAAAATTTCTCGAAACTCCATTTTTGTTAGATAACATTTTAAAGTCTTAATTTTGAAGGACTCATTTAGGATTGATGGCACTAATGCCTACGTATGGAAAACAGTGATGCTATTTCTTTCAACACCCCAGTGTATGGCTTGAAGTTGTCCCTGGACAAAACTGAGAAACTTCCTGGTGATTCAGTTTTTATGTCAACAGTTTTACATTAACACTTACATTTGTTTAAAATACATAAAGATGATTTGGAATCCTTAACTAGATAGCTTCATTTTACGTTGTAAGCGATATTTGAGACACAAATACATACTGAATTTTGATAGGGAAATTTAAGGACAAATATATAATTTCTCCCATGTTGTACACTGGAAATGTAAAGTGGAAAAGTTGTAGAAATATTAGTGTATTCACTACATTAACACACTAAAGGAGAGAAATCGTGATAACTTTATAGAATCATGCTTAAATATGATTATAGTATATGCTAAAATTCAGACTCTGTTTATGATTTGATAAAAATATCTAAGAGACATCCATAACAAATGTGCTCAATGTTGAAATGCTATAAGCTTTTACTCTGAGAACAAGAATAAGATAAAGGTGGCTGCTTACATCTTTTAGCTGTAGAAGTGGAGACCAGAGCCAGGTGGTAAGGCAAGAAAAAGAGTGAAAAAGCAGGGGGAAAAGTATTAATATAAGGATTGGAAATGAAGCTATTACTTGTAGATAACCTAATTATGCATCTAGAAGTTTTTTAAAAATATGTTTTAGTTGTCAATGGCCTTTATTTTATTTTTTTATATGTGGTGCTGAGAATTGAACCCAGTGCCTCACATGTGCTAGGCAAGCACTGTACCACTGAACTATGACCTCAGCCCAAGTTTTTTTTCTTAATACAGATAAATTACTAGAATTAGTGAGTTTATTGTGGTTGCTGGATTAAGGTCAAATACAAAAGTCTATTAAGATAAAATGAAATATTAAAATGTACCTTGTATAGTAACACTTAAATGAAGGAACTGTGGAATGAAATTGACCAAATTATGCTATATACATGTATGAAGGTACTACAGTGAATTTCACCTTTATGGATAGCTATAAAACACAATTTTTTAAAAACGATAAATAGAGGGAATACCCAAAGATATAGAGGAAACGGAACAGAGGGAGAGTGGAAGAAAAAGAAAGAGGAAGTACTGGGAAATTGAGTGGAGAAAATTTATTCTATGCATGTGTGATTGTCAAAATGAATCCCAATATTATATATGACTATAATGCACTAACAAAAACATTTTAAAACTGTAATAGGACTAAGTATAACAAAAGAAGAACTTTACATAGAAAATATAAAACATAATTAAAAGAAAAATGAAAGATCTATATAAGTGGAGGGATATATAGTGGGTCTATTCCACATTCTACATAGAGTGCATGTTTCAATCTTGTAATTAGATTTAAAAAATCAGAATTAAGTTATTGTGAAGTAGGTAGTAACTTTTTATGTAGTTGCCTACTAATTTCATATGTATCATTTTAGTTTTTTCCAGTTTTTGTTTTATGATAAACTGATGAGTCTTTCTCTTAATAGACTGTGACCATAGATAAACTGCAGGGAAGTTCTGTTAATATATCTACTGAAGATGGTTTGCTGAAAGCCAAGTATCTTTATACAGAATCATCATTTCTGTCTTCTGCTGCTGGGGATATTGCATTAGGAAGTGTTCATGGTAAGCTGACAAAGATCTACCATATATTAGACTTTACACATAGCTTAAATTTTAAGAGATGAGGGTCTGTAGTTCAAGAAGGTTAGGAAACTGGCCTTCTAATTAATTGCAGACTAGCCATCTCTTAAAAATACAATGACTCATAACCTAGCTTAATGTTATTTTGACAAGAAATTGAAGATTATGCTGTTATATATGAAGCTACTCTGATTTTTAATGAATAGCCTTATAACAGAAAATGAGTAACAAAGATATGTATGCAGATGAAATATAAGCAGTATTAAATAAAGATGGGTTTTGAGTGATTCCTTTTAGTTATAATTGGAAAGCTAAAAGTTCATGAAACATTTGGGTAGAATCTAATTATAGGAACCCAGAGATACTGATTTTGGTTAAATGCTTTATGGGCATTTTTACTGATATCAAGTCCTCTCAGCATCCCCCCATTTCCAGTTTTCTTTGAGTATCCTCTCTCAATTTCTAAAACATATCTCTACAGACAAGCACTATTATTTAGTCAACATTTGTATTATTGAAAGAAAATGATAGAATGTAATGGTGAAGTAATATGGCAAAGGATATGATAGTGTTCAGTGTCACTCAGCCTGCCTTAAATTTCCACAGAGCAGAAGATTTAAATCCAGATGTGTTTTCCAAAATATATACAGGTAGAATTAAGAATCATTTATCTGGGGCTGGGGTTGTGACTCAGGGGTAGCATATGTGAGGCACTGGGTTCGATCCTTAGCACGACATAAAAATAATAAAAAAAAAGATATTGTGTTCATCTGTGACTAAAATATTTAATAAAGAATCATTTATCTCCGAGTACAATATATACATATCTGCTAAATGCCTTTTGGGCCGTATTCCAGGAAGTTTAGACTTGAACCTTTTTTTTTATTCTGTTATATATGACAATAGAATGTATTAAAGTTCATATTACACATATAGAGCACAATTTTTCATATCTCTGGTTGCACACAAAGTAGAGTCACACCATTTATGTCTTCATACATGTACTTAGGGTAATGATGTCCATGTCATTCCACCATCTTCCTACTCCCATGCCCCCTCCCTTCTCGTTCCAACCCTTTGCCCTATCTAGAGTAGGCTTGAACCTTTTCTATATATGGTCTACTAATTTCACTTCTGTACTAAAACTGAATATTGGTAGCTATATACGCTGGATAACTCCTCAGATTTTAATGAGTATAAGTTATTAGGTGGTAATAGAAACCATGGTTAGGGCTAGTCATGCTGTGAGGCAAACAGATAAGTAGTATTTTCAGTTTTAGAAAATAAAACTAAAAGAAGAGTATTTATATACTTGGAATAATTCTTGAGCCTTGAGCCTAATTTAATGACTAAGCCTCAACCATTCTTGCAAGGTTAAAATATTATTTTAGCCCAAAATAGCTTGAGCACAAGTGGAGCCTTAGTCAGATAAAACAAATGGTTTTGTTTACTTACTCATTTACTCTTTATTCAGTTGCACATTAGGTAGTTCTGGCAATTTGTAGCTTCATATTTTTAAAATAACTTATATAAGCATTACATTTATTTGTTAATTATAATTAAAACACTGCACCTAATATACTGAGTAGCTTTTAGTGAAAAACAATTCCTTATCAAATCAGATGTTGTTTAACATCCAAAGGAAAAACTATTCTCAGCACTGCTTTATACCACGTTTACATTAAATGCATTGATATGTGATTTCTTGCTTTAAGATGGATGAAAACTGAAATTGGGGTGGTTTATCACTGAGTACATGATAATAAAACAGGTATACTTTTTTGAGGCAGTCTTTTGAGGTCTGTTGATCACAACATAGCTGATATGTAAACATTTTTAGAGATAAGAGATCATTCTTTGGCTTTTGTAAAGCCTTTTAATATTTACTGATCTTTACTATTAAGTCAAATACATTTCCATATTGTGGTTTAAATCTAGGTCTTCTTTTGGACTGTTGTTTCACTTTGGGGTTCCTTGAAAGCACTCTGAGATGGGAATTAGAGTATAGCACATTTACTAGGGAGAGCTCTTGAAACCAATACCTGTAAAGGAAGGGACCCCAGTTTCCATGAGAGAAGTTGGACTATAACACAGTTTCAACAACCCTAAGAGGGAGCTCTGACGCTGGGGTGGTCCCTTAGAGTTGTCTGAAGTTGGAATGAGGGGAACTGGACTTCTACATCCCCAGTCATTAGATACTAGCTGCCCCGGGAAGGGGTATGATCTTGGGCCAAGATGGCTCTTTTTGGCTGAGGCAGTTCCCAGAGAGGACTGACAGCAAGGGATATCTGCCTACAATACTCCCAACAGCTAGGAAAATAAGCCTTCTGGTGTGAAGGGGGCTCTGCATAATCAATCACAGCCTCTGCTATAGTTAAATCTGTTTCTTCATTCAGCACATTTATTGACCATCTACTGTGTGCTGAATTTCCTAGCACCAGGGATGGAAAATAGAGCAAGAGATGGTATCTGAGTCCTCAAAGAACTCAGTGTCTAGTGGAAGGACTGAATGTCCTTTTTTGTTTTCTCAGTTACTACTGTCCCCATTGGGATACTACCTCCCACCTTATCTCCAATTGCCATCCATTGTCACCCTGCCTCAATGAAAAGCAATCATTTAACTGTTTCTCATAGCTCTTTTGTAATACTAGTGTAGAAGTGAGCAGGAGTAAGGGAAGGAAAAATGTGATCCAATTGCAATCTTAGAAAAGCTTCCATGTTGTTCATCCTTGCTTTCCCCATCTAGTCCTTGGTCTTCACTCTGTTTTTTATTTTTTCCGTATATACAAGTCATTTCTTAGTCATACCCTAGGCCTCAATTATTTTTTAAATCATCCTTCAGACAAGTCTAAATTTATTGCTCTCTCTTCCATGTCACCTCACTTTTCATTCTTATCCGAGGGATTCTATGAAAATACTGTTTAAGTTTGGAATTCAGGGGTGGGATGCATACAGAGGAGCATGCAAGGTTTTTAGTCCCTTGACTTGGTAGGTGAGAAGATTTAGAGGCATGGCTGGTGAAAGTAAATCCCTGTGTTCCAGCTCCTGGGTTTTGGTTGGGGATGGGGGATGTCTTCCAAGGATCTTCTCAAGCTGGAACTCTGAATATATATTTCAGTGAGTTCTTTGTTCTAATTGCTGGTGGTTAAAGAACACAAATTAGGCAAAGAAATTGGCTATATTTAAATAAGCTGGCATGGAATCTTAAAACTTGTTTTTATAGAATATATTGCTACTTCTAAACATCTTGATAAGCAGAAAACAAACTGAGAATTATATGCATTTAAAGACCTGCCTGTTCAGGATTTATTATTTTTAAAAAATATTTTTCGTTATAAATTGACACAATATTTTTATTTTGTTTATTTATTCTTATGTGGTGCTAAGGATTGAACCCAGTGCCTCACATGTGCTAGGCAAGCGCTCCACCACTGAGCCACAACCCCATCCCCCAGGATATAGTTTTGTTGGCTGCTTTTACTAAGGACAGTTTAAACTGATTTTTTTCCAGGTTGAGCTGAAAAACTCCAACATATAGATTTTTCAAAAGCCATTTTTATACAAATATGATGCAATAACTATCATCTTGGTAGATCTTATTTGGTAGATGATTTTGGAGCCCTTGTGCCAGTAGGTGGATGGGTGGTTGTTTGAAAGCAAACATGTAATGAGTGCTGTCAGCCAGCCTTGCTCATTTAATGGACAGTTGGCTGTTTACATATGAGAAAAACAAACTTAGAAATGTCTAATTATTTACCATTTGCTATAAATTAATTAGTAAAATAGCAAAGATTAGATGTAGCTTCTTGACTTTCTAAGGAGATGTTCTTAAATAGTATTCAAACAAATGTGGGCACATGGCCATGGTGAACTTTTTGATTGCACTAAAAATTCCATCATCACTTCAAGGGCTTCCTCAAGGCAGACAGATAGTAGCACTGGTACTGCTTCCATTGTGTTCTATGTTGTAATCTCCTTGAGATTTAGGACCATTTATTATTACCTTATGACATTTGAAAATGTGATTGCTCCTTAGTGTTCAATCTGCGTTCCATGGTGGCATTCAGGAACTAGACTCCTTCCATTAAAAAAAAAAAAATCCTATTATCTTAATTGTATGACTTCTAAGGCTTCCATGAGAGGAGGAAAGCATAAAATGTATTTCTCGTCAGCATTTTCCTCATTACTGGGCTCCCTCTAATCTCTCAGCACAGTTGGATGTTGATTTGCCATCAGTATTTGTCCTCAGCTCAGCCCCTTTGAGACACTCAGAGACTCAGGTCCTTCCCTACAGGGGATGTTTCCATTTTAGTTTGTGGCTGCCAAGGCTTCCATGAAGAGAGTGCATAGTAGAATCATGCAGGAAGTTTCAGGAACCAGGCCTACAAGTGCATACATTTCTTCTGCCCATATGCCTTTAGAAAGAATGTTTTCAAATGACTTTATCTAACTGCAGAGGCTGAGTGAGATATGTAATGTAGCTGGATTCGAAGGAAGGAAGGAGAGAAGCACACAAAACTTAATGGGCATAGGCACGTCTGTCTTACCTTATAGGTAAATTGCTCTTTTGCAAATGTCTACACATTCTTTTTCTTTCTACCTCTTTGATGTGGTATTCTCTAGGATTTCATATGTGTCCATTGTTTTTTCTTAACATTTGCCATCAGATGCATTTTTGAGTCTTAACTGTGCTTGCATATTGAAGATTCAAATCTTTATTTCTAGCCCTTTCAACTTAAACAGCCATCTGTCTGATGGACATAGCCCTTTGGATCTTCACCGGCATCTCAAACTCAACATTCTCAATTTCTCTTTTCTTCCCTTTCCTGCCTCCCAACCTCATCCATAAAGTGTCCTCCTTCTTTATTTCCATATGCGGGTTTTGATATCACCATGCACCTAAATCCCTATGCTATAAATTTGTGTCATCCTAAATTCCTCTCTCTCACCTCCTGTATCTAATCAATCACTAATTTTTAGGCAGGTTTTATGACTCACCTAAATATTTCTTCAATCTCTCCCATGCTTTTTCTTCTGATTTCTACTCGGAATTCTGTCTCACATTCTTCTAGTCTCTTGCTTTGAATCTAGCAGTAATTTTGCCTCCAATCTTACCTTCTTCAAATCCATTCTCCTCAGTGTAGCTACAGAAGTTCACTAGAAATACACATTAAACATGTCATTCTCTTACTCAAACCCTTTCCTACTGTCTTCAGTGATTGCTGACTTCCCTTTTCTGACCCTATGCCTTACCTTCCAGAATTAGTCTCACTTTTTCTTGTACCATTCTTAAGATGTTTTATACTTGATCAGAGCCTTCTATCATAGTGATCATGGTCATGCTGTTTTTATATTCTGCCCAAAATGCTTTCCAAGCTTTTTAAAAAAAATCTCAGTAAGTAATCTTTTAGTAATCCCAGCTGAAGCATCCTCACCTTATCTCTGGCTTTTCATTGACCTGTAAATTTTTGCCTAATTATAAATTCCTCAAGATCAAGGATTATGTTTTATTTGTCCTCACATTCTTGGCATTTAGCATTGTGGCTTGCAGATAGTAAAGCTTCCTTAAGTCTCCCCACTCCCTGTCCTCCCAACCCCCAAAAGATTTTAACCTTTAAAGATATTGATTGCTCTGTTTGGATTGTTAAGAGCATATGTGCTGCTTTAACCATGATCATATTTTTTTAATTGAAAAAAAATACACCATTGTCATTATTTTTAAATTGATTGTTCCTTATCGCCCCCCACCACCATCATGCTAGAATTAAGGGTTGCAAGGTAAGAAAAAAAATGCATATTTTCTCAAATACTAGGATTTGTGGAAAAGTTGTATAACTTGAGGGTAGTGTAAGCATACATAGCTATTACAGATAATGTAGTATCTTCTTTATTGGAAAGAAGGTTTTATTTCTCTCAGGTGATTTATTATATCCTGTGATTGGAGGTGAAATAGGTGTGACTAAAATATAGGAAATTTTGCCAATAATACCAATTTTTTATTTATATAATTCTAAATATTCTCATCTCACAAAATATTTGAGACAAGAGTTCATTTTGTGTATTCTGATGACTTTGGAATATTTATTTAGGGTAAAGACTTTCTAAATATTTGGTATGATTTGCAAATGTATTTATTTATTTATTTACTGCTTTATTTAGTATTTACGAAATATTTTGGAATATTCTTTTTTAACTGTATTTACAAATATTCCTTATTTCTTTTTATATATTTTTAGTTGTAGATGGACATAATAATTTTATCTTGTTTATTTATACTTTATATGGTATTGAGGATCAAACCCAGTGCTTCACACGTGCTAAGCAAGCACTCTACCACTAAGTCACAACCCTAGCCCATTCCTTATTTTTTTTTTTGTTCCACTGTGTCTTTATTGAATAGAACTGTATTCAAGAGAGATATTGTATGAAACTCTATAGATTCCACTATGATATGAATCAGTCTTCATTCTTTATAAACTTTTGTTTTCTAGTTCTAAGAATCATTTTCTTAAGACCCTATTACTATCATCAAAACTCCTAATGATTGGATTTTTGAGAAAGACCATATTTCCATTAAAAAAATAGTACATTCTTACTGATTCATTGATGACTAGTTTAGGACAATAAAGCTCCATTTCCTCGTGAATGGGTGAGTGGACTTACTAGATAAGTTGACTATAAAACTACATCATAGTTCTTCATTAATACTTAAAATTTTAAATATCAGGGGTATGAGATACCATCATTGATCTTTCTGGGGTCTTAGCAAAAAATTTTACAATCACCCTTCACTTCATTTTTAGGCCATGTTCTAGCAATAGCCTGGATTCACATTTTGTTTGGAAGCCATTCCAACTTCCAACTTCAAGTCATTATTAACTTTAGTATCTATTGCCATCTTGAGAGGCTAAATTGTTTTGAAGTCCAGGTCCTTTTTGGTTTAGTTTTAGTTTCTCTCTTGCATTTTCCTGTATGCAGCAAGGAAAAATAAATAGACAGCACTTCCAACACTTGACTTTGCTTAGAAATATTCTTAGCTAGAGCATTCAGTTAATTAGGCACATTCTGTACTTTCCACATTACCAAAGATGACAAGTGTTGCTAAGTTTCTACACTGCTTAGCAAGAATACTCCTTCCATTTTCAAACCCATTTTTCTCACTCCTTTTGAACCCTCAAGGGAAGCATACTAGATTTCTACTAAACTTGCTCAGGGCAAGTTAGTATTTCTCTATCATGCTCTTTTAACCCCTGCCTACTGCCAAGCTTAGGTTTATTATGACAGGACCCTATTTCAGGCATCAACATTTGTGATAGTTACTTCTGTAGCAAATAACCCCAATATATAGCTATTGAAAACAACAAACATGTCTTATTGGGTGGGTCAGGAATTTTGATGGGACTTAGCTGGGTCCTTTACCTCAAGATCTCTCACAAGTTTGTAATCAAGTCATCAGCTAGGGCTCTGAGCTCATTTGAATGTTCAACCAGGGGAGAATCTGCTTCCGTGCTTGTTCATGTGGTTGTTGGCAGGATTCAGTTCAGATCCTATTGGTTAGGGGACCCTTTGATTTCCTTGCCAAGTGGACTTCTTCCATAGGGCAGAGACAACATGATACCTGGCTTCAATAAGATTGAGAGAGGACTAGAAAAACAGAAGCCAGAATCTTCTTGTTACCTAAACTTGGAAGTGACATCCCATCACTTTTTCCCTATTCTCTTTTTTAAAAAGCAAATCAGTAAGTTCCAGCCTACATGTATAATCTTGGTGATTATACAAGAGCATGAATATCAGAGGCAGGGATTAGAAGTCATCTTAAAAGTATGATCTTTGCCCACTTTTGCTGTGATGATGAATCTATATTTATTAGGTCTGAATATTGGAAGAGAGTATACACACCAATGAAGTAATATTTACTTAACACATTTAACAAGATCTTCACAGCCTTATAACTTACTGAGTCTTAAATATTTTATGAACTTATGCATACAAATCATGTTTTTATTCCTAAACAAAGGTAGCCCTGTTCATATACTCACATGAAGTATGATAGAATGTTGGAAATATGGAAAGATTTTTGCAGTCAGGTACATGAAACAAGTGCCCTTTTTGGTTTTTTCCCCAGATATCAACAAGTGTTAGTATTAACAAAACATAAGCAATGAAATACTTTAAATTAATTCTGAGACAAAATTATTTATTTTTTCATGTAGTTTTGGAATTATATCAGAAGAGGTAATATTATTGCTTGCATCTTAAGGGAATTGAGCTTCTGACTCCAGAAGTACTTATATGTACACACCTTTGAAGAAAAATCCTGCTATTTTTGGTATTAGAGGAAAGTGGCTAGGAATGGTTGTAGTATCCTACACTTGTCCTGGAAAATGTATTTTCATTGAAAGAAAGAAGGCTTTGAAGCTTTTTTTGTTAGTTATGCCTCCGTGTATTCATTATTCCTATCCCAAACCACTTCAAGTTTTGGCCTCAAAACTACTTTAATCTCATAAACAGATGTGGCAACTGGCCTGATAAATAAAATTATTATTTCCATATGATATTTTAGTGTTACTTGTTTAGGATGAAAATTTGTAGTGAACACATTTGAGTAATCTTTTATTTATAGGCTTTAGAAATATAATTTTTCTCCATGTTGTCAGGAAGTGTGGTGGTTTGTTTTATAGTTATTCTATAAAAGCTTAAGGGTTGAGAGTGGGGGCAAAAGATTTGCATAGATGCTTAAAGCTAGATATTTCAGAACTATAACTAAATCTGGATCTGCAATATTAAGGAAAATTGCCAACAAAAATAACAGTGTTATCAAATAGCATTGTAGATTTTTCACTATGTTTTAGGATTCCATATAACATAATTTTTTCTAGATTGTCCCTAATAAAATTCTTTTTTTCTTTTTCTCTTTTAGGTAATATAATAATACAAAGTGAGACGGGTAACATCACCATAGGTATGTTCTGAGATACTAGTTGATAAATTTTGCCTGCTTCTTAAACTAGCTGTATTTTTCATGCTTTATTAAAGTCTAGAGTTTAGCTCATGAACCTGACATAATCCTGATATGTAAGTCAAATACAGGCAAACCCAGCATGACCTTGTCCACTCAGAGAGAATTACTTGAACTTGGTATTAAGTAATATAATACAAATTCTTTGAGTTCTTCAAATATCTACATTAAGTCTTAAAAGAAAGATAAATTACATAGCTGGGCCCCACATTGTGTTAACATTGGAAGACAACCCTGAGTATGCTATTAACTAATTAGACAACATGTGTTTATGAGTGCCTGCCATGTGTCAGGAATGTTTTTTAGGTACTGTTATGTATGTTGGTTAACAAGACACAGTCTCTGTGCCAGATACCATACCTTTTCTGAGTGGTAGGAAGAAAGATAATAAGTATGTAAACAACAAAAGGTAGTTTCAGATCAGGATAAGTGCAACAAAGAAGTAAAAAACCATAATGGGATAGAGATTACTTGGGGAAAAGAAAGCTACTTCACTTGGACAATCAGGGAGAGTTTGGGGAAGGGTTGTTTTAGCTAAGGCCACAATAATGGAAAAGAGTCTTGTAATATTCTGGATACAGAACACCCACCTAGAGGAAGAGCAAGTGAAAGCCTCAAAAATGGAATGAGTTTATCATTTTTGAAGTGTAGAGGAAGGGCTTGTGGGACAGAGGAAGGAGATGAAGTAAGAAAGACTAGACCTTAGAACATTGTAGACTTGGTAAGAGCCAGGAGTTCATTACAGAAGTTCATTATAGGAGTTACAACAGGCTGTTAGTACAGGACTGATCTAATTTACACTTAAAAGGGGCCACCTAGGGGTTGGGGCTGGGGCTCATTAGCATGCATGAGGCACTGGGGTCCATCCTCACCACCACATAAAAATAAAATAAAGATGTGTCCACCAAAAACTAAAAAATATATATATTTTTTAAAAGAGAAACAACCTAGCTGGTATTTTATAATGTACCAGAGTGGGCAGAAGTGAAAGCAGACCACTAAAACACAGTTTGTTGATCCATTCTCCTGTGGATGGACAGTTGGGCTGTTTTTAACTTTTGGCAACTGTCAATAAAGCTGCAGTGAACATTCTCAGAGTAGTCATTTTATGGAGAGAGAGAGATCCTTCTACTTAGGTAAATACTTAGGAATGGAATGGATGGGTTGAATAGTTCTGTATATGTTTAATTTTGTGATTTGATAAATAACTTGAACATTTTCCAAAGTTCCATTTTACAGTCTTATGAAAAGTGCATGGGCTGGGCATGGTGGCACATACCTGTAATCCCAGCAGCTTGGGAGGCTGAGACTGGAGGATCACGAGTTCAAAACCAGCCTCTGCAACAGCAAGGCACTAAGCAACTCAGTGGAACCTGTCTCTAAATAAAATACAAATAGGGCTGGGGATGTGGCTCAGTGGTCAAGTACCCCTGAGTTCAATCCCCAGTACCTCTGACCAAAAAAAAAAAAAAAAGTGCATGAGAAGTCTATTTGCTCCATATCCTCACCAACATTTATTATTGTCAGTATTTTAAATTGTACCCATTCTGAGGTACATATAGTGGTATTAATATCTCTGGTATTAATTTCTTTTTTTTTTTAAACTTTTTTTTTAAAAGAGAAAGTGAGAGAGGGAGAGAGAGAATTTTTTAATATTTATTTATTTATTTTTTTAGTTCTCGGCGGACACAACATCTTTGTTTGTATGTGGTGCTGAGGATCGAACCTGGGCCGCACGCATGCCAGGCGAGCGCGCTACTGCTTGAGCCACATCCCCAGCCCTGGTATTAATTTCATATCCCTAATGACTTTTGATGATCAGCACTTTTGCAGATACTAATAGTCATTAGTATATCTTCCTCTGTGAAGTTTTTTATTCATATCTCTTTGCTTATTTGCCTTATTATTGAGTTGTAGTAGTTCTTTATAAATGCCAAGTACAACTACTGTTTTGTGTTAGGGTCTGTAAACAAGTTGGGATGGCACCTGGCATTTTGCCAGGGTTTGTGAGGTGGCGCCAGCGAGCCATTAAGTGTGGAGATTCCTTATTGGTTGACTGCTGTATCTAGTTTATGTTAATTAAGATAAGCTGTGTGGAATGTATATATACCCCTCCTGTCCTACAATAAATGGCTCCCACTCCTGCTGTATCAATCTACACAAGTTCCTCGTCACCCCCCTCCCCGCCCCCCCCAGTTATTTTGCTGCAGCCAGACTGCGGCAGTTTTGTTAATATTTTCTCTCAGTTTGTGACTTGCCTATTCATTTTCTCTCTTTTTAAACTTCATTTATTTAGTTTTGGTATTGGGGTTTGAACCCAGGGGTGCTACATCTCCAGCCTTTTTGATTTTTGACACAGAGTCTTGCTAAGTTACCTAGGCTGGTCTTGAATTTACAATCCTCCTGTATCAGTATCCTCAAGTTTTGGGGATTACAGACCTGCACCACTGTGACCAGATTTTCCTTCTTTCCCTCCTTCCTTTCTTCCTGCTTTCTTTCCTTCTTTCCTCCCTTCCTCCCTTCCTTTCTTTCTCTTCCTCTTCATCTTTCCCTTCCCTTCCCTTCCCTTCTCTTCCCTTCTGTACAGGGGACTGAACCCAGGGGTGCTTAACCACTAAGCCAAAAACCAAGCCCTTTTTATTTTATTTTATTTTTTTTTTTTTTGAGACAGGGTCTCACTGAGTTGCTGAGGCTGGCTTTGAACCTGCTTTCCTCCTGCCTCAGCCTCCTGAGAGGCTTAATTTTCTTAATGGTATATTTTGATGAGAATATTTGAATTTTAATGAAGTCTAATTTACCAGTTATTTTTATTCATCCTAAGAAATCTCTGTCTTCCTTCAAATGTGAAAATATTTTCCTGTTTTCTTATAGCAGCTTTAAATTTATTGCTTTCACCTTGATACATTTCTAATTTTTGTGTTTAATGTGAGTTAGGAGTCAAGGTGTTTTTTTTTTTTTTTTTCCTACACAGATAGCTAGATGTTATATCACCATTTGTTGAAAAAAACTTCCTTTCTCAGCATCTTGGTCTAAAATCAAAAGACTGTATATGTGTGGACCTATTCCTGATCTCTCATTCCTAAGTCATTGATTTATTTGTTGAGCCCTAGGCTGGTGCTACAATACCTTGATTACTATAGCTTTAAAATAGGAAGTCTCTAAATCAGGTAATTGAAGTCTTTCAAACTTATTATTTGGATTTGTAGGTTCTATGATTTTCCAGTCAGTTTCTACCAAAAAAAAAAAAAAAATCCAATTCTGATTATGATTGTACTAAATCACTGAATCTGTTGATCAATTTGGAGAGAACTGATCCTCATTAACATTGAGTGTTTCCATTCATGAAAATGGTATAACTCTCCATTTATTTATATATTCTTTAGTTTTTCTCAACATTGTTTTATAACTTTTAGTGCAGAGATCTAGCACACCTTTTGTTCAATTTGTTTTTGATATTACTATAAATAGAATTTAACATTTTTGTTTTTTTAATCATCTGCTGCTAGTATATGAAAATACAACTGATTTTTAATACATGGACCTTGTACCTTGTAACCTTGCTAACTACATTCACCCATTAAGTGGCTTTCTAGAATATAGATTCCTTTTCTATATAAACAATCATTTTGCGTATAAACAAAAATAGTCGTATCTCTTTCTTTCCAATATGTAATTCTTTTATTTCTTTTTCTTGCCCTATCAGGTTAGCTAGGACCTTCTAGTACAATGTTGAATAGTGGTAGTAAGAGTTGGATTTTTTTTTCTTGCTGTGAATCCTTATCCCCATATTGGGGGGAAAGCATTCAATATTTTATCATCAATTGTCAGTTATAGACTTTTAAAAAATTTTACCAGATTTTAAGAAAGTTATCCTTTATTTATTCCCAGTTTTCTATAAGATTATTTTCCCTTTCCTTTATCATGAATGGGTGTTGAATTTTGTCAAATAATTTTTTTTCATGTTTATTAAAGGGATCATGTGATTTTTCTCCTTTAGTCTATTTATATGACTTAATACACTGATTTTTTTCTAAAAAAAATCTGTACACATTATTTAGTGCCTATGTTGCAATCACTGAGCTAACCACATTACAATGTAATTTTTAAAAATATTTTGTAGTTGTTAATGGACCTTTATTTGATTTATTTGTTTGTGGTGCTGAGAATCAAACCCAGTGCCTGATGCATACTAGGCAAAGTACGCTCCCACTGAACCACAACCCCAGCCCCCTACAATATAATTTTTTAAAAACTTTTTTCATCTTAAGTGAGGCATAACTGACCAATCTGTGTATATTTAAAATATATAATGTGATGATTTGATACATATATATAGTTAAATGATTACCACAATCAAATTGTTAACATCTGTCACCTCACTCAGTTACTATTTGTGTGTGTGTGTGTGTGTGTGTGTCTGTCTGTGTGGTGAGACTATTTAAGATCTATTTTCATAGAAAATCTCAAGTATACAGTACAGTATTATTATTTACTGTAGTCATTATGCTGTATATTAGATCCACAGAACTAACTCAGCTTCTAAGTGAAAGTTTGTACCATTTGACCAATATCTTCCCATTTCTCCTTTCCCCCGGTAACTGTCATTCTACTTTGTTTCTATGACTTCAACTTTTTTAGATTGTATATAAAAGTGAGATTAAGCAGAGTTTGTTTTTCTATGTCTAATTTTATTAGTATGATGACCTCAGAGCTCATCCATGTTGTCACAAATGCAGGATTTCTTTTTTATGGATTTCTTTTTTATACATATACCATAATTATTTATCCATCTATCCACTGATGGATACTTAAGTTATTTACATGTCTTAGCTTTTGTGAATAAAGCTGTAATGAATGTAGGAGTATAAATATATTTTTGAGGTACTGATTTCATTTGCTTTAGATATATACCCAGAAGAATAACAAAAGTAGTATGGTATAGACTTTCTTACATCCACATATATTACAAATCCCATAAAACAATTTGCTTTGTATTGTCTCACCTACTTGGAAGAATTTCAGGAAAATAATTTTTTATATTTACCTATTTATATTTTCTATTATATTAGTTACTATTTCCAGTGATTTTCAATTCTTCCTTAAAAAGATGAATTTATAACATAATTTTTTAAATACTGGTTGAGACTACTGATCCAAAATGCTTGGGAGCAGAAGTGTTTCAGATTTTGTATTTCTTCAGATTTTGGAATATTTGCACATATATAATATATTATCTTGAGGATAAGACCCACCTTCAAACACAAAATTTATAAATATATATATATATATATATGAAACATACACACACACAGTCCTTACCACATAACTGAAGGTAATTCTGTACAGTGTTTTTTAGTGCAGTTACATTTTGACTGCATCCCATTGCATAAGATAAGGTATGGAATATTTTACATATGGAATCATTTGGCCTCAAAATTTTCAGGTTTTGGATTTTGGAGTCTTAGATTAGGGATACTTAATCTATGTAATGCCTTCCTTGTGGAACATGAGGCCATCTTCCAATTAAAATGAGTTAGCACAAGAAAGCAGAGTTGATAGTAAATAATGGTGGGGTAGGAGTGCTAATAGAGTCGATTGTGAAACTTTACTTTTTCTGCTATGTATTCCCTCTTTTCTGACAATGAAAGGCATTGTCAGAAGATATATAATGATAATCATGTCTTTAAAAAAGCACACGAGTGTGTGTGTGTGTGTGTGTGTGTTTTATGTGCCTCTCATTAACTCAGCCTCCTATTTGCTCCCTTCCTGATATAGAATACCTGGAGAGGAGGTCAATTTAAAAAACTTAAATTTTGCCTTTACAACCCCTATGTCCTGTATATAAAGGTTGTTTCTTGTCCTTGCAATTAGTATAGATTTCTAAATGTATGAATCAGGTTGCAGAAATCAGGAACTATATTTTGGTTGTTCTTTTATATTTTGAAACTTCATGTAAAATTATAAAAATTAAGAACTCTTTGAACATGCTGGAGGAATTTTGAGAGAGTTCTTCAGTAAGCTGAAGGAAAACAGCAAAATTTAGAACTTTAGCCTTTCAAGCATAATTGCTATTTTTCTTCTGTTAACAAAATATATATTACAAATATCTGTTTCTTTGGTATGTGTAATGTTAAGCTGGTGGTTGACATCAGTATGTTCCTTTTGTATATATAATTTTCCAGGAAAACTTGATGGTCTCTGTCAGACCCACAAGGTCTTTGCCCAGAATTATAATAATAGATACTTTTCTGTGGAAGACTACTTTTTCCTATTAGTGTCCAAACTAGCAATTTCTGTTCACTGCATATTTCCCTTAAGGTTTTCTCCAAGATCTATACAACTTCTCCACTGTATGAATCTCAAAAGAAATTCTGTAGAGTAAACCTTAATTTTACTCTTAATAATTAATTTTAATTACAGTGATTTGTATTGTAAACAAGAAAAATAGGGGTTATTTTTCTGTCTAATCTTTAAATGTCATTTTTGCTTTCTCTTTTCAAAACACATCTACAGTTTTAATTTATTTTTTGACAGCCTCCAGGGGGTAAGCCATTATCAGAGTTCAAGACTGATAACATAAAGATATAATTACTTTGTGACTTAGGATGTAATTTAGTTGTTTATTTCTCATTTGGGATAAAGGGGAAAAATGGAAAAGTGTTGTTTATGAACCACATAAAAATCTTGTGACTCCCCTTCCCCCCACCACCACCACAAAGGAAGCAAGAAAAATCAAACTAATGCTTGTTCAGCTTAGGATAATATACACATTGTGTAGTCCACTTTTTTTAAAAAACCATAATGTATTTTTACTTGGCTTCTTTTATGATGCAGTAAGAGTAAAATCTCTTACTGGAGTTTCTGTTGGTATTATCAAAGCAGTGAGATATGCACCTTTGTCTGGCTATTTTATGTTCTTGATCTAGCAGTTAATTTTCTAATGTTAGTGATTACTTTTGACACTTGAAAATTTAATAAATTGTGTCTGATAAAAGGCAATTTTTAGTATAATAAATTGGAGACAAATTATAATAAATGATCTTGGTGCTAGATTTTGAACAGTTTATTCCAAAGTTACTATTTTTGTTTGGAGTCACTTAAAATTTTATAAAGAAAAACCTTGACTCCTTTGTGGATACACAAATGTTTTCTCTCCACATTTTATAAAAAGTGCATTTTTCAACAAAATTTTCCCCACACTCCCTACTTTGCTTCAACTTTAAAGTAATAAGAATTCCTGATGAAACGTGCTTTTAAAATAGGCTTATCCAAAAAGAATATGCTATGGCCTTCTCAGGACAGTCAAATAGAATATTAAGGCTCAGTTGCTGTGGGAGAAGAGGAGGAAGGAGGAGCCAATTGCATTGATTGAAGTCTTCAGGTCATTCTTTTACTTCATCTCTGACTCTGTTGGTTCCCCTTGAACTAAAATATTGGCTGATTGAAAATGGAGTCATTGACAACACAGAGAAATTTGAGTATGGAGATTCCTTAGAAAACTCAGAATGGAACCACCATTTGACCCAGCTATCCCACTCCTCTATCTATTCGCAAAGTACTTAAAATTGGCATACTATAGTGATGCACCCACATCAATATTTATAGCAGCTCAATTCACAATAGCTAAACTATGGAAGCAACCTAGATGCCCTTCAATAAATGAATGGATAAAGAAACTATAGTATATATACACAATGGAATATTACTCAGCATTAAAAGAGAATAAAATTATGGCATTTGCAAGTAATTGAATGGAGTTGGAGATGCTTCATGCTAAGCAAAGTAAGCCAATCCCAAAAAAACAAAGGCCGAATGTTTTCTCTGATAAGTGGATGCTGATCCATCATGGGGGAGGAGGGCATGGGAAGGATGGAGGAACTCTAGATTGGGCAAAGGGGAGGGTGGAGTGGAGAGGGGGCATGGGGCAGGAAAGATGGTGGAATGAGACGGACATCATTACCCTAGGTACATGTATGATTGCACAAATGGTGTGACTCTATCGTGTACAACCAGAGAAATGAAAATTTGTACCCCATTTGTGTACAATGAATCGAAATGCATTCTGCTGTCATGTAAAACTAATTAGAACAATTTTTTTAGAAAAGGATTATCAGAACTAGCTTATTTATTATTTTCTTACCTTGACTTAAAGATATATATTTCAATTCCAGAAACTTGGAAAGAAATATTAGATAAAAATAAGCTTTACTCTTTAGTGATCACGCTAAGAAATGTAGTAAACCTTATGTGTCATAAGATTTTTTTTTCCTCAGTACTAGACATTGAACTCAAGTACTCAACCACTGAGCCACATCCCAAGCCATATTTTGTATTTTATTTAGAGGTAGGGTCTCACTGAGTTGCTTAGGGCCTTACTCAAGTTGTTGAGGCTGTCTTTGAACTTACAATCCTCCTGCCTCAACCCTTCCATGCCAGGCATGTCATAAGTTTTTGCTATTAGGAGCACTTTTTAGTACCACAGATTTGATAAAAGGGAATTGTGAGACATTTTGATTTTCATTTACTTTATTACTGCTTACATGTGACTATATATGAGGTAGAATTCTTGGCAAATTCTGCAAGTTTACTAAATATATCAATATGATAATAAATGAAATAGACTAATGATGTTTAATGATCTTGGCTGTCAAGGATCCATTGTTTACATACTGTCCTTCCTCTGATGAAGTTATAGAGTAAATGTCTAGAGATAAGTTATTGAGGTTACTATAGATATATTTTGTTATTGTCTGGATATAGACTTCTGGATTTTTGATACTATTTACATTTTTATGAAAATGATGGCATTGTTATGAGGAAAATATAAAACCTTATAAGATTCTTAACTTCTATTCTAACATCAAAGCAGTCTTTTATTTCAAGTTTATACCATTCACTCGTATAACAATAATTACACTTACAGTGTTTTCTTCCTCAGACTCATCCTCAGGATGTCTAAGAGCCTCAACTCATCAGGGTGCTATCGATGTCTATGTCAGCCAGCTGGGGAAGGTGGAATTGAAATCTCACAAAGGTTAGCCAACTGGATCATTTATATTGATATGTGGTATAAATTTAGATTTTATGGAACACTGAGGAAACTGATGGTCATATTACCTATATTGGCAGAGTGACTTCAGGAAACTTTCTTCTGATAGCATCTTAAATGCCTGTCTTCTAGCTCTCAAAACCAATAATCTTTATAAATCTGGGGACAGACGACCATGAAGATTGTCTTTCCTACTTGTAGGACAAAATATGTAATATTTTGACTGTCTATTGTAGAATTTTTAGTGTTATTATGTGGGTCTTTCCATTTTTTTTGTGGGGGAAGATACTGGGGCCCTATTTTGTATTTTATTTAGAGACAGGGTCTCACTGAGCTGCTCAGTGCCTTGCTTTTTTGCTGAGGCTGGCTTTGAACTCATGATCCTCCTGCCTCAGCCTCGAGATGTTGGGATTACAGATGTGCGCCACTGTGCCCCACTTTCTGTTTAGTTTTATGTCTAAAATAGAATATTCTTTGGAGGGAAAATGCTCTCATATATTGAAAGCTTTCCTACCAGCCTGTAAGAGGACCTACTCAGGCTATCACTATAGAGTAACAGTTTGCAAAGTGTGACCCTGAAATAAATCTTACCAGGAAGATCCTGTAAAGCCATTAAATGAGTTTCTTCAAGTATCAAGATATATGATGTTCCTCTCTACATAATTTAATTTCTTATACTTATAAGTCACTTATTTTAAGAGATCAAGTTTTTCATTAAAATGGTATACTTTTTATTCATATGAAAGCTAATTATCAGTTTATGTGTGTCTGTGTGCACATGCATACACATATGCACAGTGACAAGTGACTTGTGTGGACATGGTGACAAGTGGCTCAGCAACAGAGGCCAAAGTGGCCTTGGTACAGAAAAAGTTAAGAGCTATATTAAAAAATTAAAGTCTAGAAGCTCTTGTATATTGATCTGAACAGGACTAACGGTATAACAAGAAAAGTATTTCTCTAGAGACTGTTTTCTTGCTATTAGTAATTTCTCTGCCAGGTTCGTTCAAGTTTTCATTCAACTAGGCTTTCTTGTCAGAGTATCAGAGTAGAGCTACCAAGCACAGAAGTTCAAAACTGAAGTTATTTCTGACACAGAGGTGTGATTTCTCACACCATAATATACTATTTTAAAGAAATATATAATTTTTTTTAAAATAGTATATTATCATGTCCTCAGTAAACTATGAAAAGCTTCAATAATACTATTGGAGTAAATTGTAGATACCTCATTAGTAATATAATTTTACTCTCTTATGAAGACCCAAAGGGGGACAAATCATACCATTAATGTAACTAGTAACATAGTAAAAAACAATACATGTAATAAGAATTGTAATGTATTCCGCTATTGTATATTTTAAAAAATAAAATCAATAAAAAAACAAACAAATAAAGTTTTAAATAATCTGTTTGTATGTGAAGGTTATTTCTTCTTTTGTGTGGTGGTCAAAAAAGGGAAACAAAACAAAAACTTTGGAATTTTTGGAGATTATTAATCTTCATCTATTTAAAATACTTCTTAGTATTATTTAGAATGTCATTCCAGCAGCCTATTGAAATAGCATATGATGTTGTAAAATTTGATTTGGATTACAATTTTGTGTTTTCTCCTTCTGGGACCACATTACTGGAAGAAACTTAAAGAAAGATAAATGGAAACAAAGATTTATATCTTCTGATTTCTTAATTTTCATTATACTTGGGAATAGTAACTTTTTAGAGTAATGGAAAGTTTGTCAGGATCTGTTGATTAATGGTTAGTAAAGACATCTGGAATCCATTCCAAGCTCTGCCACTGACTTGCTGAAGGGTTCAGAGCCAGCCATATGAATCTCTTAGGTCTTCATCATTTTGCCATATGAGAAGTAAAAATGTTACAAATGCTTGTTTTCTCTCTCCTTGTGAAAGTGAATATGGTGAAATTTATTCAGAAAGGCAGTTTGAGTTTGGGCTTGGGAGTCAGCCCTACATCTGAGGACTGATTTTTCTGCCAAACATGTTGTCCTTAGGAAAATCACTCATTTTTATGTAGTATGCCTTCAGTAAGTGGCATTTATTAGTATGAGTTTGCTTTTGAATTTTTAAGAGGATAGTATTGATGTCAGTAACCATGCAGAAGTTTGCAAGGTAAAAAGAGGTTGATTCCTAACAAGAGCTCTCCTTTCTGAAAAAGATAGTGTTAAAGATGGGAACACTGGAACACATTCAAGGCCTTAGAAGCCATTCACAAACAGAGGCAGTTTTGGTAGTGGCGGGTTTTGTTTTCAAAGATGTGAAGGGAGATAGGGATAGAACAGTTTGCTTAAACATTTGATAGACTTAAGATCATGTTCGTGTAAAAACAGAAAAGAGTGTTCTTATGTTCTTAAAATTTTTGTATTTGATATATTTAGAGGCATAAAATCCTAGAAAAAAAGTATTTAAATTCATGATTTTCTACTTCTAAAAATAGGTTTGGGGAAAAAAAAAGGTTTGAGGGCCTGGCACTGTGGTACATTCCTGTAATGCCAGCAACTGAGGAGGCTGAGGCAGGAGGGTCTCAAGTTCAAAGCCAGCCTCAGCAACTTAGAGAGAGGTCCTAAGCAATTCAAATAAAATAATAATAAAAAGGGCTGGGGATGTTGCTCAGTGGTTTAAGCACCTTGGGTTCAATCCACATCCCTTCCCCCAAAATAGGTTTGATAGGAAAACATATCATCTTCTATTCATCCTCAAATTTTCCAGGTTTGTTTTTGTTTTGTTTCTTAAGTCGTCAAATTTGTTGTCATGAGAAATCTCCTGTCAGTGTTTATATTTGAACCCCAGAAAGCAACTTATTTTTTAATAAACTAGATATAGTGATATGTTTAGTTCCTTAGTTTTTCTGAGGAATAAATATGAGAGTTTATCAGCCAAACTTCCAGCTCTAGTTAGGAAGACTAAGGAGATACCAGTTACTTTAGGCAATGCAAGCAGATGTTAAGCAGACTAGAAGGAAAACTCAGACCCATAAATAAATACATGCTAAAAGGTGTCTTTTCAGCATTCACAGTGTATATCATCTGACAGTTCACAGAGATGGGGTTAATGCTTTATGGTAGAGGACTCTTTATTTGATGAGAAACAAGAGAAAGAAACTTATGATACAGGAGTGTACTGGTAAATTTGTACTGCAACCTACATAATTGTTTTGAAAAATGACTCCATAGCTCTAACAGAGTTTTTTTTTTTTTTTTTTTACTCCTTAAAGAGTTTGAATTATCAGATTGTACTGAATATAGAGTATCAGGCCTCAGATACTCAAAAGTCTGTGATCCACTAAAATAAATAAATAAATAAATAATAATAATCCCTTTTCCTTTTGTTGTTATTTTCCCTTCACACAGTAGGCACGGTGTTAGTTTCTGGTTGTGGTCTTGTAATACGATAAAGTTGCAGTGTGTAAAATATCAGGGGTTGAAAGATGGGCTTTGTAGTCATTTAACTGGATATGTGTTCCAACAGTAGAATATGAGACCTTGAGCAAGTCCTCATATGTAAAATTGTGAGTATGATAGTACCTCATAAATTTCATGTGGATAGTAAGTGTCTGGCTCTTAGTAAATGCTTTAACTAATAGTAAATCCTATCTATAAGCTACATGTGTAGCAATCTACTCACTTTTCTAATATCAGATGAATTGGGTAGGGCTATTGGCAAAAAAAGAACCAATAGTTTATAATGTTCCTAATACCTCATACTCTTGACAGAGTTACTATGAATGCCTTGAGAGTAAGGGAACTTTGATCTCTTGGGAGTAAAGACAAGGCACTGCTATTTGAATAAATGTGCTGAGGAGTAAAAACATAGTATAAGGAGCAATCCTAACCTTGTTCAATCTAATTTATAATGGATTCTGGTACTTAGATTGCTTTGGACTAATAAGCTCTCCTTTAAATTTATCACAGGTTCTGTTATTGTGAAGGTACCATCTTCTCTTCAAGCTCATTTACAATTATCAGGGAAAGAAATCGATGTGAGCCCAGAAATCTGTGTTCAGGAAATGGCTGAAGCTCATAAGGATGATGGTGTAATAATTACTGGTAAGGAGGATGCATTTTACCATGTGTGAATACTCATTTTCTATACATAAGTAGAAATGTGGTATAGTTAGCCACAATTTTATTCTTTTCCATTGTCACATTCTAATGTTGAACACCTTTTTCTTTCTGTTGCTTATCAGTAACATGGTGAAGACATTTTGTTGAAAAGAACTCATTAAATCATTTAGGAACACTCATTAGTCCTGTCCTTGGATAAAATGGATTTAAATTTTTTTATGGAACAGCTGTTTTCTAATTCTTAAACTTGAAAATCAATTAAAAACATATATTATAATGTAAGACTTAAAGCTAACTTTGCTTGATTCAAGAAAAATAATTTGGTTTGTTATGCATATTATAAATTTCCTATTTTAATATAGCAAATTATTAATCCTATAAATGTAAATAATTTTGTATATTTTTCATTATAGTTAGCTGCACTGATGGCCAATGCAATTTTTTAAATGTTTGTTGTATAAATGGATACAAAAATTCATGATGGTGAAATTTTATTTTAAATTCTATCAGAATGGCATCAAAAAGGATTTGAAATTTAACTGTGTGCATGGGCATACCCTATGTGCTTAACCATGAGGGACTAACTAGAAAAACGAATGTTTGTATATGTGCTGAGGTGGGTACGGTCTTCATAAGATCAAGTTTCAGTTTTAAATGTTCATTTTATATGTCATGAAAGTTAAGAAGTAGTTTTGTTAAAATAATAAAATATTAAGAAAAGCATAAAGGGATAAAAATAATACCTGTATATATTTTTAGATCTGACTCAATGACTAATGAACAGGCTCTTAGTTACATAATGAAAATTTGATGAGAATCTGAATGTATCAAACAGTAATTCAGGAGAAAGAATACAGTTGGCCTGGTCTTTTCAGAGCTATCTTATACTCAGTAAACAGACTTTCAACAAATTTGGTTGAAGGACAAGGTTAATGAATGCAATGAGAAGATACATACTTACTTCAATGGTTATTATGAAACTGCTTGGCTTATTTAGATGTTTGTTTGTGTTATTTGTTATGTCTTACACTCTGATCTCTATTTACATCAGGAAGAACCAAATTGCAGAAGAAATTTTATTTCCTGCTCATGGTGCAAAAATCTAGATACTGACCTACAGAGTCTACTATGGGATTGGGCACCAGATAGATCTGTGTGTTGTCTCTGATACTAGATAAATCCATTAGAGTGACAATGTACAGAGACCCCAGGTAAAGACAGCAGCATTCTGTCTTGCAGCGAGCCGTATAAATTAGTGACTGGATTTAAAACAAACTCTCCTAGTTTGATTCTTAAAGGTCACAGGCCTTTTTTATCAAGTAGATGAAATACTTTTAAGAGACTTTGAAAGTGAAATACTTAAAAGAGACATTGGGTTTCTTCTTCTTCTTCTTCTTCTTCTTTTTTTTTTTTTTAGGGTTTGTATGTGGGAGAGTGTGTGGGTGTATAGATTTCCATTCTGAAACCTAATTTTAGAAATAATGGGCAGCTTCAGTGTACATTGTTACTATAAGCCCCTGAGCTCAGCTCATCTAGGCCTTCCTCATAGATCCTACAAGGCAGAGAAACAGAAATATTACCCTTATTGCTAAGAAGTCTGGACTTAATCTGTAGCATAAGTATGATTTCTGCAAGAAGCCATGCCAGTAAAATTTAGTCCCTCAGACTCAAGCTCCCCAAAGGGTTTTGATATATCAACCCTATAATTGTTTTTGATTTCCTGCTTCATGGTTTGCCTTGCCATTGCTGTCACTGATACAAACTCTCAGTTGTAGGATTCTTACTGTGATTTACAAGTATTGTGTGTTATTCTGAGATCAAAAGAAAGGCCAAGACTATGGGTTATGTACAGTATGTGTTCTCTGTGGAGCATTCTCTTTACAGAGCTTGGATTCTAAGTTTTATGTTCTACTCGTAAGTGGTAAATTCAACAGGTTGTGAATGACTGAGGTAACACATTTCTAATAAGAAGTTGACTTCTCTTCTGGGTTTTAGACTTGGTACATCAACTTAGATATGAAACCTGTGATTTATCAAGCCATTCTCCAAGCTCAGAAATGCATGTGGTACCAAATCCTTTTGTTTTAAAACTTCAAAATTTAGATATTTAAAAAGTATTAGAGATTAGGTGTATTGCATAGGATTGGTGTTTGTCACCATATAGTAGGGAAGTTGCCACTACTGGATTCATTTCATTTTAGTCAAATGGAAATGTAAAGCATATAAAAGATAACATTCATTTGAAATAAAAATAAACTACAACCAAAGATATGAAAAATTGTATTCTCTCTATATAATAAGAATTGTAATGCATTCTGCTGTCATATATAAATAAAAAAATTTACATAAAAATAAACACCAAGTTAGATGAGTTCTCAATTTATCTTTAGGCCAGAGGGTTATATGCATAATAGTATTATAATTTACAATGGAAAACTGGTTCATCGGTTGGGAAAGAGGTTGAAATGAGACATGGCCCATTGGATGCTACTTTGTGTGTATGGGTGTGTGTTCTGATTAGTTATACTGATGCTACTTTTAAAATCTAGGGACCATGTCTTCTCTTCCAATGGGAGGAAATGCAATCTTTTGATAGAAATTTTAGAAATAACTTTTTTTTTAAAGAACACACTGAAGTTGTGGTTTTCTCCAAGCTTATCATACATTTGTCAGTTATATGTGCATTAGGACCACACATAAGAAATTCACTAACATAATGAAGAATGCTGTTAGGTTGACGTCTGTCTGCTAAAGAATACTCTGACATGGAGTTACTGTGGGATCTGTCTTCTGATCATTTATGCTTTTATTATGCTGTTTTTGTTTTCCAACCCTTTTGTTAGGTGTAAGATCCTGGGAGTATCATGTGTAATCAGACATTAACTTTGTTAATGTTAAAAAAAAAAATCAGGTTTTGTTTCCATTCATCTGCAGATTTTATCTGAAAAGGCCAGATGGTAAATGTGTTAGACTTGGCAGGTCACACGTGCTCTCTGTTGTACATTCTTTTTTTGTTTTTTTAACAGCCCTTCAAAAATGTAAAAGCCATTCTTAGCTTTCAGGCCATATAAATTCAGTCCTGTGGCCAGATTTGGTCTATGGACTATAGTGTGCTAACCCCTAGACATCAAAGTGTTCGCCTCAGTCTTAGAGCACTACGACGAATTATTTGTGATGACTGTAGGTTTTTTTTTTTAATTATGTGTTTTTGTATTTATTTTTGTCATTCAAGAAATATTGAACCATAGCCAAATCCTTATCCTGAGTGAACTCTTCCCACTCTTGAAGATTCATGCACATAAAACTTCTATGCACATAAACATAATTTATGGGTCAAAAACTTTGATCATGGAAGATTTAAGAAACAAGGCAACCCTAGGAGATACGTAATGGCAAATAAATAAACAAAAGATGTTCAACATCTCTAGTCATTAGGGAAATGCATATTAAAACTGGAATGAAATGCCATTACATATTTGCTGGAATGGCTAAATACAAAATACTGATAATACCAAGCACTGGGAAAGATGCAGAGAAATTGGATCTTTCCTTACATTGCCGATAGAAATGTAAAATGATACATTTACTCTAGAATTGAGAGTGTCAGTATCTTCAAAAACTGAGTATGACCCAGCAATTATATTCCTGGATATTTTTCCTGGAGAAACGGAACTTAAGTTCCCAACTTTATTTGTAATAGCCCCAAACTGAAAATAACACAAATACCCTTTTATAGGTGAATGGATATACAAAATGGTATGTCCATGTAAAGTAATATAACTTGTCAGGAAAAAGGACCAATCAATCTATTGGATACACAATTTGAATGGAACAAGGTATTGTTTAGAGTGAAAAAAGCCAATTTTAAAATGTTAAGATTATTCTATTGGTATAACATTCTGAAAAGACAAAATTTACAGACAAGTGGTTTCCAAAATTTAGAGAAGGAGTGGGAAGGAGGGTGTGATTTTAAAGGGATATCTAAGGGAAGAATAGTTCTGTATTTTGACTATAATAAGCGCCATATGAGTCTGTATAGGTGATAAAATGTCATAAAAGAGCACAAAATCCTACCAAAAAATAATGCATGGAATAAGTGGTGAAATGTGAATAAGGTCTATAGTCTAATGAATTGTTCTTTGCCAGCCAGTTTTCTGGTTTTGATAACGTACTATAATTATGTAAGATGTTACCATTGGGGGAACTGCGTGATAAATGTACAGGACCCTTCTGTACTATTTTTGTAATTTCTTGTCAGTTTGTGTAGGGGTAAGAAATGGAAGGAGAAAGATTGGAAGGAGTTTAAGGGGGAGGCAAAGAAACAAAAACAATATAGTCCCTCAGTTAAGATGGAGTTAAAGGGACCAAGTTACCTTCCCACCTGAAGCTGTGATACACACACACACACACACACACACACATATTAAACAGACAAAATATTTGAAGTTTTCAAGACACTGAACATCAAGCAGTAAAGAAAGTAGTCACTGGGAGATGGGAAACAAATAAAATGGGCCTTGATCATTGCCAAGGAAGTCATCAAGCTAAGTACAGAGAACTATTACTGGCAGACTACCTGAATTGATGAGATCCAATATGAGTCCACAGAGACCAAAACAACTAATTTTGCAGAACAAACTTCCAGAGGGAGTAGAGCCTAGTGCTCACACGCATCTAGAAATAATGCTCCTTCTACCCACTAGATCAGAAACAAAAATCATAACTCATAGGGCTTTGGGTAGTGGGCAACAAATAGTCCTAGATAGAACTCAACTCCAAAACTGCCAGACAAATGAGAAAAGCAAGAGATGAAAGACTTAAACTGTTTCCAAGTAACTTAACTTCAATCACAAGCAAAACTCAAGATTTATAAGAATACAAAGTATTTGGCACCTAACAAAGTAACATTTACAACATCTGAAATCCATTCAGAGGCTATCAGACATTCAAAGAGGAAAGAAAACATGAACCATAACAAAAAGAAGAACCAATGAAACCAACCCAGAAAGGACACAGATATTAGATTAGCAGAGAAGGAAAGTAAAACCATCATCATAATTGTTATTCCACATGTTCAAAAACTTAAGGCATATGAGATACAAAAAAGACCAAAGTTGAATTCTTAGAAATTAGAATTATAAGTCTGAGATGAAAAAGGAAATAGATAGGATTAGATATCGCAGAAGGACAGATCTGAGGAAGGAGTCTATGAGATTGTTTCTCAGGCAGAGCTTATTAATTGTATTCTTGCTCAATGCCTAAAGTACTGTTAACTTTGTTACTGTTCCAGATATTGGAGAGAAAATATAATAGATGGGTACCATTAAAACTAGCTTATAAATATTTTCTTATCAGTAAAGACTTTTTGTCAAAATATCTTGGGTTGTACTTTTATTAAAAGAAAACTCTAGTTATTGTTGACAAAATATTCTGTTATGGAATTATATTGTTAGGAGTTTATGAAATTTATGTGTTAAAAATAATAAAAGTTCAGAGTAATTATTTTCATATTGTTTCATACATATATGATTTCTTTTCCTAGTGTACTGGTAAACCTCGTGAAGGCATAATTTGTCTTTTTATATTTTTTGAATCTCCCTAAATTACTTAGTATGGTGCTTGTGGTAGTGCATGGTCCATGGTATTTGTCATGTGAAAAAGACATGATGTGCTGAAGTTTTATCTGCTGCAAAAAGGGCAGAAGCAGAAGCAGAAGTGTCTCTTTGAACCAAATGTAAATAAACAAAGTCTGAAGTGAGAGTTGGTGGGAGGCAGGAAGAAGCTCATCTTTCTAAGAAGCTTTTTAATCCTATATTTTAAAAAGAGTAATAATTCTGCAAATTATTCCCCAGAGCCCCGTGTTTGTCCATAGTTAGAGCTGATTAGATTAGGTGCCTTTTGGGTTAAAAGTAGAAAGAACTTGTAGATTCGTATGTTAGAATAGATCGGGGGTAGGGGTTTGGAAAGCAAATGGCAGAGTTAAACATATGTCCTAAGCAACCTTTCCTCATTCTCAATAGAAGCCATACTATATAGGGATAGGGTAGTCATTTTTCCATTTCTAGGTCACAGAAAAAGTGCCTTATTTTCACTGGCAAAGGAACATTAAATAAGGTACAAGGTTTTGGAACCCCAAGTTCCAATATGTGTTGTAAGACTTTTATAGGAAGGATTTATACTTTACAAATTAGAATAGACTCACCATAGATTCAGGCCAAAGTACAAAGAGCTTTCAGTAAATTGCTTATTGGCAAGAAGGCTGTTTTTAGCAAACTGAATGGAATCTTGTAAACTGCCCTGTCTTTTGAATATTGTCACTAAGCTGAAATCACTCTTTGCTGTTACCCACAGCAGCACGGTGCTTAGCCTCTCCTGTTGCAGGAGGAAGTGGGTAGATGAGCTTCTCACTCCATAAGAAATGCACAACAACCCGGGAAGTGATGAGCTATATATTAAGACAAAGCTCCCAGATATTTAGGAAGTCCCTACTATTGCTGATGTTTTATTATTGGTGCTAAATGGTATTAAAGAACAAGCTAAGAATTTCCAGTTCTTTCCTTAACACTTATTTGAATTACCAGAAAAAGAAATTCTGTATTACAAACAATTTGGTGCAAGGTACCTTGAAATCCTGACCTACCAAGTGTAGCACAGGCACAGAAAAACAGATAAAGTTGATAGTACCGAACCCTATTAATGAAGAGCTGGAGGGAAAAGGGAAGCTTCTAACAGGGATTTACTAAATGGAGCACAGAGATATTTTATCAGTTCAGCAAAGCTAATGAGAAGTGGGTAATGATCATATCGAAAATATAGCAAAAGAAGAAGAAGGGGATACTCAGCTGTGTCTGAGAAAGATGCAGTGAGCTCTAGGACTTGGACAGGGTGGTGGGTCAGAGCTAAAGGAAGAGAGGCAAGAATTCAAAGAAGAATATGAATCAGAAGAACCCTTAACACAAAGATCTCATGGTAGAAAGCATCTTTTCTTCAGCCAAGAATACCTTGTGGTACCAAAGGAAAAAACTATACTGAAGAAGAGAATTAGTCTCTGATTTGTTAACTTGCATTTAACTAGTGAACTCCCAACAGTGTATACACAACTCTTCAGTTCAATTTAGACTGGCTTCTTAAATCCTGAAACAGTGGAGCTCCAGAGGAGATATAAGACCTTAGTTACTTTAATTAACAGAGAAGACAAGAACTAGAGTGTAACAGTGGTACCTTCACCTTCTGAAAGTAGCCCTCATTGCTCTAAGGCTTATTTTTTTTTAATGTTTTTTCCTCTCTTCTCCCCTCTACCTCTCCCTAACAAGATTGGGGAGACAGTATTATCCTTTCTTCACCTAGTTAATTGCCCTTGAACACACCCACTACAGGAAGGAGATGCCTGCTGAGGATCTGGGAAATGAATATCTCCCAAATTAACAAATGAATTCTAACATTTCATGAGGGTCCCCAGAGGCCCCCTACCAGAACACACCTGGTATGTGACACCCACCCTGCCATCCCTTCTGATTGGGAGAGTCACAGACTTTGGTACAGGAGTCCTCTGTGTTTCTCCTTTGCTAGCAAAGCAATAAACTTTTTCCTTTTTCTCAAAACTGTATCCTCATTATTAAATTGGCATTGGGGACAGGGGCCGAGCTTTTGGTTACAGGATCAGAGATGGGTGAGCTCTGTGATTGCCATAGTTTGTCCATTGAGAGTTTCCAGGTTGCAGGCCAATGACAGATAATAGAGCCAGAGCCTTGCAGATACTCGGACTACAGGAGACTGAGTGGGTAGACTGGGCAGACCAGGGCTTCCCAGAGCTCAGGAGACAAAGTTTCAGACAAGAGGGAACAATAGCACAGGGGATTCTGTAGATGGTACTCATGAGCACCCAACAAAGTACTGACTACCATGCCTGTGAAGAAACTACTGGATACACAGTACAATACAGATGAGCCTCAACATAATACACTGAATAAAGACAGATTTTGAAAAGAGAGAGAGTACATACTGTATGGTTCCAAGTTTAGAAAATTTTTGAAAATGCAATTCATAGTAACACAAAGCAGATCATTGATTGCTGGGAATAAGGAAAGAAGGGAGGGTGTGTTAGTGTATTGGCTTTCTTTTACTGCAAGAAATACTATGATAATCAACTTGAAAAGACATTTGTTTTGACTAAGTTTTAGAGGTTCCATTTCATGACCAATTGGCTCCATTGCTTTTGGGCTTGTGTTAAGGCAGCAGATCATGGTAGGGAGTGTGTGGTAGTGCAGAGCTACTGATATCATTACCAGGAATTGAACAAGAGACAGGATGAAGAAAGGCGGGGCTTCACTATCCTCTTCAAGGGTTTGTCCCCAGTAGCTAGAAGAACTCCCACTGGGCTCCACCTCTTAAAGGTTCTTCCACCTTCCAATAGTGCCATGCTGGGACTAAGCCTTTAGTACATGTCTTTGGGGGACATTCCAGATCCAAACTATAGTAGAGGGTCATGACTGAAAGATTGCAAAGGGGTTAAGAAAACTTTTGGGAATGCTGGATGATATACCTTATCTTGAATGAGGAGACAGTTTCACAGATTTCTTACATATGTCAAAACTTATTACATTGTATACTTCAAATACATGTGGTTTATTTTGTCAACTATACTTCAATAAAACTCTTTTAAAACCTTCCTTTAAAAATGATACAAGTAAAAACAGAGCAGCTGCCTCTCAATTGTTCTAAGAAAATGAAAGGAGAGCAAGCCCACATAACCTCTTTGCGGCTCTTTCTCAACTCAAACTACTTGTTAAGATTTTTGGCATTCTAAAGTATTGGTTTTAGAGCTATATGGTAAGATTTGTGTGCTTATATATTATTCTTGCCCATTAAGATATAACTTTATGCAATTTTCTATTTCAGGACTCATGAATCAAGCAAGCAAACATGAAAAATGGATTAATGTTGCTGCCCCAAAAGGCACTGTAAGTTTTAGAAGTCAAAGCTGGTTTCAGTCCCTGAAACTGCAAGACTAAGAATGGCTTGATCTGTACTTGTGCCATTAAAATAATGATCAGCAAACTGTGACTACAAAAATGCAACTTCCACTGTTCGTATAAATGCTGAAAACAGTGGCATTAGGAATTAATAGTGGTAAATAGTTTGGGATTGGGGGACTTTTCAAAATACTTACTTAGCCACCATATTCATTTTCTATTGCTGTGTAACAAATAACAGTAGTCTCCCCTTATTCTCAAGGGATATATTCCAAAACCCCACAAGCGGGTGCCATGGACAGTACCAAATTTTATGTATACCATGTTATTTCTTACAAATACATATGCAAATTTAATGCCTTTGTTATCTTAATTAAGCATTTGTGCATTATAGCTCTAACTTGAGCAGTTTGAGTTGCAACAGCAAAACTAGCTTCTTTTTCCTTCTTTACACTTTCACAGGTGAAACATTTATTCTGTTTTCTTAATATATTTTTAGTTGTAGGTGGACACAATACCTTTATTTTATTTTTATGTGGTGCTGAGAAGCAAACCCAGTGCCTCATGTGTGCCAGGCAAGCGCTCTACCGCTGAGCTACAACCCCAGGCTGAAACAATCAATCTTACCATAGATTTTACCAGACTTTTTTTTTTAACTTATAAATTATTTATTTCTGGAATTGTCATCAACCAGAGGTAACCGAAACCATGGAAAGCAAAACCTCAGATAAGGGGGAACCACTGTAGCACAAATTTAGCAGCTTAAATTAATACTCACTCATCAGATCACAGTTCTGTAGGTCAGGAGCCCAGATGGCTGACTACTCTGCTCAGGATATCAAAGGGCCAGAATCAAGGTGTTAGCAAGGCTGACTTCTTATATGGAGTCTCTGAGGAGAAATCTACTTCCAGATTCATTTAGATGATAGGTAAAATCCAGTTCATTATGAATATATGACTAAGATATCCATTTTCTTGCTGGCTGTCTGCTAGCAATCACTCTAAGCTTCTAGAGGCTACACTCAACCTGCTTGTGTGGCACTCATCATCTTCAAGCCAGCAGGGACACACTTGAGTCCTTATCATGCTTGAGTGTCTGACTTATTTTTTAAAAGTTGAGAAATCTCGACTTTCAAAGATGAGTTCAGGCCCACCCAGAATAATTTGTATTTTATCATATGTCACATGATCATGGGAGTGAAATTTCAGCATAATCAAGAGTTTCCATTTCCACTCAAGGTGAAGAGATTATGCAAATGCATCAGTCATGAAGGGTATTTATCTTAGAATTCTTTGTACTATACCTCTCATGTGACAGGTTTTCTACTGAATATCTCTTAAACATCATTGGAAATTTAAGTTGTAAATAAAATCTTATAATTGTGAAGCAGTTGCTATTGATTCTTAATATCTTTTGTGTAATGTAATATATAACTAGTTAGGAGAAAAAAAGTTATTTTATTGCCTGATGTATGAAGATAGATTTTCAATTTTATAATGGTGTACTTTATAAAGTTATTTTATGAAATTCATTTCTTTTCAACTTTATTCTTAGAACATTTAAATTATACAATACTGAATAGATCTGTTTATTGGATTATATTTTTATGACTAGGATAAATCAACTTTTAAATACTAAATTTTAATAACTATTTTTAAATTCTGCAATTTAGAATAATCTCCTTTTTGTTACTATTTCATTTCTTTAAAGTTCTGTTTTTAACTTCTTGTTTTTTTTGGGGGGGGTACCAGAGATTGAACTCAGGCACTCAACCACTGAGCTTCATCCCCAGCCCTATTTTGTATTTTATTTAGAGATAGGGTCTCACTGAGTTGCTTAGTGCCTCACCATTGCTGAGGCTGGCTTTAAACTTGTGATCCTCCTATCTCAGCCTCCCGATCTGCTGGGATTATATGCATGCACCACCGTGCCCAGCTAACTTCTTATTTTTGAAATAAATTCAACTTTGTGGGATATCTTAATGTCTTCTTTTAGTTCAGTCTTCATGAAACCAGAATTTGTATAAGTTTGAAAGATATTCATATGCTGGTATATTTGAGGTGATTGTGTGTGTGTGTGTGTTAAACTGTCAGGAGAGGAAAATGTGAGGCAGTAAGGCAATTTTTATAAACTTTTTTCACCCTCATGGAATTATATAAACATTTTCATGTCTAAAAATAAAGTTGATGAAATTAGCCAACAACAAGCAGAAGGTCATGACTATAATTCAGTCTACTATAGCTATTATTATTATGGCATTGTACATATGGTTCCCTTGCATGGCTCATTTTTTCTAATACCTACCCCTTTTCTTTCAATTCTGTACCTCTACATTTATCTCACCAGAATGAATGAATGGGTCTCTTGTTCTTGTTTCAAGGAAGGTATTACAGAGTTTGGGAGCAAGCTTTGCCTATAAAGTAACCTGTTGGGTTTCTAGAAAACATAACAGGATATATTTTTCCTTGGCCTGGTCTTACCCATGCAGGTACTCCTTTGGAAACCAACTGACTCTTCTACAGTTGTGTGCATGAGACATCTAGGGGTTAGACTTCTGAAGCTAATTTTTATGCAACTGCCAAAAATTTCCAAATTTAGTTGAAAATTTCACTCCTACCATAATCATCTTGGCTCAGGTCTTAAGATTTTCTACTTATTTGATTCCTTTGCTGTCCACTCCCAGGAACCTTTCCACTACTTATTTTAAAAAGCCAAGTAGAGGTGACACACACCCATAATCCCAGCCCTCAGGAGGCTTAGGCAGGAGCATCAAAAGTTCAAGGCCAGCCTCAGTAACTTAGTGAGACCCTGTCTCAAATTTAAAAATTAAGGACTAGGGATGTAGCACCCCTGGGTTAAATCCTGAGTACCAAAGTGTTAGAGTCTGTAAACAAGTCAGGATGGCGCCTGGCAAATGTTAGAGTCTGTAAACAAAATGTAAACATTTTGCCAGAGGGAGTGGTTTGTGAAGTAACGCCAGCGAGCGGTTAAGTGTGGAGAGTCCTTATTGGTTGACTGCTGTATCGAGTTTATGCTAATTAAGATAAGTTGTGTAAAATGTATAAATACCTCTGTTGTCCTATAATAAACGGCTCCCATTCCTGCTGTATCAATGTACACAAGTTGTTCGTCACCCCCCGGTTATTTTGCTGCAGCCGGACTGCGGCACCAAAGGAAAAAGGAATTTTTTAAAAATCAGGTAGAAAGAAAAGCCCTTTCAAAAATGAGGGAGAAGCTGGGTGTGGTAGCACAGGGGCTAAGGGGGCTGAGGCAGGAGGATCCCAAGTTCAAAGCCAGCCTCAGCAACTTAGAGAGGCCCTAAGAAACTCAGTGAGATCCTGTCTCTAAAATAAAATACAAAACAGGGCTGGGAATGTGGCTCAGTGTTTGAGTGCGCCTGAGTTCAATCCCTGGTACCAAAAAAAGGGCGGGGGGAGATTAGCTATTTTAGTCAGCTTTTTCTCAGCTGTGACCAAAGGACCTAAGAAGAACAGTTTTAGAGGGGGGAAAAGTTTATTTGGGGGTTCACAATTTCAGAGATCTCAGTCCATAGACCACTGGCTCCATTTCTCAGGGCTTAAGTGAAACAGAACATCACAGCAGAAGAATGTGGTAGAGGGAAGCAACTCAAGACATCACCACAGGAAGCAGGGAGAGAAAGAGCTTCGCTAAACAAGGACAAATGTTGACCCCAGAGGTATGCCCTAAATGACCTACCTCCTCCAGCCATACCCTACCTGCCTACAGTTACCACCCACTTAATTCCTATCAGAGGATGAACACACTGATTAGGTTAAGATGTTCTTAACCCAATCATTTTACCTCTAAGCCTTCCTGCATTGTCTCACACATGAGTTTTTTGGGAACACCTAATATCGAAACCATAATATTAGCTAACACAGAGCACCCTATAATAATGCTTGTACATCCCTTTTAAAACTTTCCAAAATAACTTTCATATCTTTAAGTTTTTATATTTATTTCAAACTTAAGGTAAACAAGAAGACAGGGAATAACCCCATTTAAGAGGGAAATTATTGAGGAAATAGGAAAGTTTAAAAAAAAACTGTCTAATATCACTGATGCAGCCTGTATGTAGCAGTCAGAACAGAGCTGTGCTTTCTCCTGGACTCTGTCAATATCAGTGGATGCAATTAACAGCCCATACCTCCTAGCAAAAATTGAGGGAACATCTTTTTTGACACAGTTTGGTTTTAAAATTCCTCCATAGTGCAAACTTGATTAAAAAGATGTTTCTGAGACATTATAGGAATTATAACTTTTCTGTTCATAGACAATTTTTGCTTCTATTTAATTTCCCCTATTAAAGTGTTTAAATGAATCCAGAGCTAATTTGTATTTAGTTCTGTTTTGTTGTAAAATACCTGGAAATCCAAAAAAAGGAGCCCCTTTTCCTTTGAAAATGGATGTCTATCTTTTATAATAAAGCTTCACAGATCCTTAAAGTCATTGTCCTGGCTCAAATTTTTATTTTGACTTATATGGCCATCCTTGCTTATCTAGAGACAAATTTAAAAATTCTTTTCAAAAAATTTACATCTCTCAGGGTTGTTTCCTATAATAGAACCTTAAACTTGATAATGTCAAAATTATTGGTTTGATTAAATTAAATTTAGGGATCATGATTATTTAGACAGAAAAACCAATATATTTAGAAACATTTGTAGGTGGGATAAGAATCAGAAGATGACTTGCTGCTTGTTTACATTGTTACTGAGATCCACCTAGAAAAGATACTTTCATCAAGTGAAGAAAGGTTGCTAGGTTCTAAATTTTGGTTTGGTTTTTTTTTTTTTTTTTTTTTTTTTTGGTTTTTCCTGCTTGAGGCTGAAGGTCATACTTCCTCTTCAGTACTACTGTACTCTGAGTCTTTCACTGTCACCTCTGGGACACCTTTAAATGGTTTTGTATATTGAACATTAAGAGGATTGCCACCACCGTCATAGCCAAACCAACTTGGAGGATCACTGCAGCTGTATTCCTGATGCTGGACTACAGATGACATTTTGTGAGCTGCCTCCCTGGAATAACAATGATTAGTGTTAGCAAGTTAATTCCTAGTATACCATTTTCAACTAGACCACATTTGGAATTAAGAGAACTTTGTCACAAGTTGGATTCACTTCAGAGCTCTCTTGCCTTTCTGGATAACTGGGCTGATAACCAGGATCCCAGAGCCTAAGCAGGTCTGGTTCAGCCTGTTCAGAGTACACAGTGAGTGGGTAAGAAGACCGCACGGCCATGGAATGGGAACACTAAGGTCACTCTATTTAGAGAGCTCTTGAACAAGCCCTCTCCTGGTATATCCAGGGTTTCTAATAAGGGAGTAACCTAACCAGCCAACCTGTGAAGGCAGACCAGGCACCAGAGCAGAAGCTCTTAACCCAGAGTTCACAGATCCTTGTTGGATACCTGAATGAACTAACTTCAGGGAGGTCCATGAGGGTCTCTGAAAGTCCACGTAGTTTTGTTTCGAATACATATTTCCCTGAGAAGAAGGGCTGTGACTCAAAAGAGTCCACAGCCAAATAATTAAAAATAACTGTCTTTCTTGGGGAAGGAAGGAAGGAAGGGAGGGATGGAGGAGGAAAGCATCAGAAACAAAGGTATATCAAAGCCATTTTGAGGACAGAGGACTTTCCTAGGAAATTGGTTCAAATTACAAGGCCAGTACTAAAAAGGCAATGAATAATTGTTCACTTGTATTGGATTAGAAATGAGTAACTATGATGTTCACCCATTAAGGGCCTACTTTCCCCACTACCATTGCAGTCTGTTACATTGAATTATTAATTGCAAAAGTAACTGAGTCATTGATATGGAGCTGGTATTACCACACCTTGGAGTTAAATTTGTACTAAATGTCCATATGAGTTCAGATAGGGCAATGAAAATGGAAAAAGCAGAGATATGTTAGTTTAAAATGCTGTTAATCATAACCAAACTCAACAAGGAGACAACCAAAGCATTGCTAATTCTGCCTCTTACCACATTGCTTTTTGGCTAACATTCTTGCACTCACACACGATTTATATAAATTTAAAGAATAATTTGAGTAAAAGTAATTGTTATATACTAATTTCTAGTTCAAAACTACCATCTTCTTGTGCTAAAACTTGGCAAACAAGTGTCGTTTCTTAATATTTATTCTCAAAGTATGAAGATGGTAAATTATGGTCAAAAATAAGGTTTTATACTGTTAATTTAAAAAATCTTTTTAAAGGTGATATTCTATTTTAAACATCTTATATAAACCTTTATATGTCCTCTAAGTAAAACATTATTATATAAAAAGAATAAGCTTGTATCTTTTGCTTTCCCCATATTCTTCTGATATTTCTTTTTTTTCAATTCTATGGAATTGAGATTACTGTACCTCTTCATATATCTTCTGCAAGATTTCCCTCCAAAGACTTACCAAAACAAAATACCAAGTGTTGGAGTAAATTGAGGCATAATACATTGGCATCACCAGTTTCAAAGGGGGGAGATACTATCCCAAGCAGCAGAACTTCGTTGTTAACCTTCATTCCCATCTCTACCTGTCTAAACTTTATCCATCAAACTCCAAGCCAATCTAGCCTCTTGTATAAAGATTCGACCCAATGCGTTCCTTCTCTGAACTTCTTTAGGAAGTTAATCATATAATTAATTTCTTTCTAATATAGAACCTCATGGCATTGTTTATAATTTTGAACTTTGTTATTTTTCTTTGGTTTAAAAAAATAGTAAATTATTTAAGGCCATAATTTCTTTGTCTCTCTGTGAAACCTAGCATTAACAGCCAAAGGAAGAGATTTCAGCAGCTGACACTGAGTGTGAAAGTCCTTTTAACTCTCTTGAGTTCTGCTGGTTTGCTGGTCTAGAAGAGGCATTCTTAGGTCCCTATTTCCAATTCCCTCCTGACCCTTGTCCTTTGGATCAGCTCTGGACACACATACAGTAGTTCACAGTTGTTCATTTGATTCAACACCACTGACACTGATTGTAGTACCAGAGTACTATAGTTAGAGACAACAGAGGCCTTGGCTATAAGAAAAGGAAATGTTTGTTTTAGAGAGTAAAGGATCTCCAGGTAGTTGACTAAATTATATGTTACTTTTAGTTTCATAAGAGCAACAGTTTTTGAGGGTTCTAGATAGCTGGTGTGAGGATAAGTACAATTATTGCTAAGTTTGATGATGTTTATTTTGGGGGGTACCAGGGATTAAACTCAGGAGCACGTCACCACTGAGCCACACCCCCAGCCCTATTTTTGTATTTTATTTAGAGACAGGATCTTACTTAGTGGCTTAGTGCTTCAGTTTTGCTGAGGCTGGCTTTGAACTCACAATCCTCCTGCCTCGGCCTCCACTGGGATTACACGCATGCTCTACCACACCCAGCTTTGACAATGTTTATAAAATATCAGGTCATATAGTTCCTCAGTCAGCTTTAAGCCAGGGTTAATTTGTTGGTATCTGTGGTATAAAAATAGTAATCCAATAGTGGGGGAGCCTTTTCAGACCCTGGGGTTTGTAGAATGACAGTTATATCTTATGGTGGGTGCTCTCTTGCAAAAGAACTATAGCTAGCTAGTTTGCTCATTGACCAACAAAAGTTTGCTCCTCTTCTGGTTTAAAAACACTGGGATGAGCCAAGCTTCTTGTTTTGCAAAGTTAGTGTAGTGTTTCCAGATTATAGTGAGTATGGGGAAATTTGTTGATAAAGCCATTTCTTCTGGAAGCTGTGATTGCATTTTAAGGACTGCAAACATATTTTCATGTTAAAAAATGGATTCAATTATTGAGCCTCTTCCCAAATAAGAAAAATTTCCTCTTTCCTAGAAGCCAAAGGTTCCATTTCACCCATACAAACAAAACACCTTAGTTGAGGGAACAACACTGGCCCTGGCAAGAGCAAACAACAAATAAGGGACTAGAGATTTTGTCTCTTGTTTTGAAGGGTCCATATTATGGTTTGGATGTGAGGTATCCCCCAAAAGCTCCTGTTAATGTGGGAGTATTCAGAGGTAAAATGACTAGATTTTGAGAGCAATAACCTAATCAGTCCATTTTAGTTTGCATGGACTGACTGGGAAGTAACTGTAGGCAAATGGGGTGTGGCTGGAGGAGGTGGGTCACGAGGGTCATACCCTGGAAGGGTTGGTTTTATCCATGGCCCCTTCCCTGGTTCCCTTTTCTCTTTCTGTTACCTGACCTCACCATGAGCTAAGCAGCTTTCCTCTGCTGAACCCTTCCCCCATGATGTTCACCTTACCTTGGGCAATGGAGTCAACTGACTTTGGACTAAAACTTCTGAGACCATGGGCCAAAATAAGCTTTCTCTCCTTTAAGTTGTTCTTGTCAGATATTTTGGACATGCTATGAAAAAGCTGACTAAAATAGTCCACAGACACTGTGCATTTCCAGTTCCACTTAAGGATCTAAGTGGAAAAGGAAGCTGCTCTGCAGCCCCTAGAGATTGCCCCAAACAGCTGCAAGCAGTCAGGCCTTACCATTTCTGTAGTTGAAGTTTTGAGGCCAAGTATTTCAGGAGCCCCCCGACTGACAAACAGTACCCTCTTTTAGATATTGGACATAAAGACAGATGTTCTTCGAGCCTTTCAATTTCAAACACTGGAACTCTTCCAGTCACTCTGCAGTGAGGACTGTCTTCCATTGCTAGACAAAGATGTAATCAAAGCACTCTAGGCCTTTTTCCTGCTGGAACTGAGCCAGGACAGAGCTTCTAAGAAGACTAAAAAGTGGTAGTCTGACCTCTTTAGACAAAGAAATGCATAGAACAAGCCTGCCTTCTTCTAGGCATTAGGGCCAAGTCTCTACCTGCTTCTTGTTGATAGAGACAGGCAGGCATTGTAGCAGAAGACAAATTAGGACTTGTTGCTGTCCTGACTTAGATAAAGAGATTTTCTAGAGATCTAGCTATAATTAGAATTTTGCATTGAGATTTGGGAACAAGGCCCAAGTAAATATAAATTCTGCCTTGCTTACGTTTCTTTGTGTGTGTGCACATGCATACACACACACACACACACACTAATCTAGGAACCCTGCAATAGAACTGAGTAATTAATGGTACAATTGGGCTATTACTGGATATCTTGGGTGTTCTTGGCCAGACACCATATTAATCACTTGTTAATATCCATACCACGATTAAGTTTAAAGAGTTCCTTGCCAGAAAGTCTTCATTCTACCTAAAATTCCTCTTATTAAAAGTTCAATAATATTATCTCCAAAAATAGTGATTGGCAAAATCACTATTGATTAAGCGATGAGATGCTAAACTCCTTTGAGTAGCACATTATCCATTAACACTGTCATCTTGCCCAGAGTTAGCTGTTTAATGATATAATAAGTTCAGCAGGGACTCCAAGGACCTTATTTCATGGCGTCTTCCTTAAATGATTTTACTGACATTTATATCAAAGTTATCTCCAGACTTATCAGAGTAGATTGAGTCTTTACCCTGCTTCAAAAATTTTCAAGGAGTTGCTCCTTTCTCTTTGACCCAGCTCCAATTAGCTGCCCTCTTCTTACAGACCTGGACTCAGGGCATGCCTGCTTTACAAATAATTTTCCTTCCTCCCTCCCTCCTTCATTTCCCTTCTCTTCCCTTTCCGCACACCCTTGGACCAGAAACCATTTCACCCTCAAGTGACAAGGGCCATGGTTCAGCTTATTCCATGGCTACTTAATTAAGAAAGTTTATTTATGAAATCTACATGCTTGGGGTAGTTTTCCTCATTTCCCTTTCAGGGGATTTGTCACTGATATACAGAAATGCCTTTGACTTATGGGTATTGATTTTACATCCTGCTACTTTGCTGAATTCATTTATTCTAGAAGTTTTCTGGTGGAATTTTTTGGTCTTCTAGGTATAGAATCATATCCTTGGCAAATAGTGCTATAATTTGAGTTCTTATTTTCCTATCTGTATCCCTTTCATTTCTTTCGTCTGTCTAATTGCTCTGGCCAGTGTTTTAAGACCTATGTTAAATAGTAGTAGTGAAAGAGGCATCCCTGTCTTATTCCAGTTTTAGAGGGAATGCTTTCAATTTTTCTCCATTTAGAATGAAGTTGGCCTGGAGTTTAGCATAGATAGCTTTTATGATGTTGAGTTATGTTCCTGTTATCCCTAGTTTTTCTAGTGTTTTGAACATGAAGGGGTACTGTATTTTGTCAAATGCTTTTTTCTGCATCTATTGAGATGATCATATGATTCTTATCTTTAAGTCTATTGATGTGATGAATTACATTTATTGATTTCCATATGCTGAACTAACCTTGTATCCCTGGGATGAATCCCACTTGATCGTGGTGCATGATCTTTTTGGTATGTTTTTGTATCGATTTGCCAGAATTTTATTGAGAATTTTTGCATCTGTGTTCATTAGAGATATTGATTTGAAGTTTTCTTTCTTTGATGCGTCTTTTCCTGGTTTTGGAATCAGGAATAGTCTCATAAAATGAGTTTGGAAGTGCTCCCTTTTTTTCTATTTCACAAAATAATTTGAGGAGTATTGGTATTATTTCTTCATTAAAGATCTTATAGAACTCAGCTGTGTATCCATCTGATCCTGGTCTTTCTTGGTTGGTAGGCTTCTGATGGTATCTTCTATTTTATCACTTGAAATTGATCTGTGTAAATTGTGTATATCATCCTGATTCAATTTGTGCAAATTATATGACTCTAGAAATTTTTCGATGTCTTCAATATTTTCTATTTTACTGAAGTACAAGTTTTTTGAATAATTTCTGATTATCTTTTATATTTCTATAGTGTCTGTTGTGATGTTTTCTTTTTTATCACGTATGTTAGTAATTTGAGTTTTCTCTCTCCTTCTCTTCATTAGCATGGCTAAGGGTTTGTCAGTTTTATTTATTTTTTTCCAAAGAACCAACTTTTTGTTTTGTCAACTTTTTCAGTTGTTTCTTTTGTTTCAATTTCATTGGTTTTAGCTCTGATTTTAATTATTTCCTGTCTTCTACTAATTTTTGTGTTGGTTTGTTCTTCTTTTTCTAGGGCTTTGAGATGTAATGTTAGGTCATTTATTTGTTGACTTTTTCTTCTTTTAAGGAATGAACACCATGCAATGAACATTCCTCTTAGTACTGCCTTAATAGTGTCCCAGAGATTTTGATATGTTGTATCAGTGTTCTCATTTAATTTTTTAACCTCCTCCTTGATGTCTTTTGCAACTCATTGTTCATTCAGTAGCATATTATTTACTCTCCAGGTGTTGGAGTAGCTTTTATTTTTTATTTTATCATTGTTTTCTAGTTTCATTCCATTATGATCTGATAGAATAATGAGGAAAATTACCCAATTTACAATAGCCTCAAAAAAAAAAATAAAATACATGGGAATCAACTTAACGAAAGAGGTGAAAAACCTCTATAATGAAAACTACAGAATGCTAAAGAAAGAAATTAATTAAATTATTTCTTTAGAAGATGGAAAGATCTACCTTGTTCTTGGATAGGCAGAATTAATATTGTCAAAATGACCATACTACCAAAAGCAATATACAGATTTAATGCAATTCCAGTCAAAATCCCAATGTCATAGAAATAGAAAAATAAGTCATGAAATACATCTGGAAAAATAAGAGACCCAGAATAGCTAAAGCAATTCTTAGCAAGAAGAGTAAAGCAGGTAGCATCACTATACCAGACCTTAAACTATACTACAGAGCAATAGTATAAAAAATGGCATGGTATTGGCACCAAAATAAGATTGGTAGACCAAAGGTACAGCATAGAGGACACAGAAACAATCCACATAACTACAGTTATCTTATATTAAACAAAGTCACCAAAAACATACATTGGAGAAAAGATAGCCTTTTCAACAAATGGTGCTGGAAAAACTGGAAATCCATATGTAATAAAATGAAATTAAACCCCTCTCTCTCACCATGCACAAAATTCAAAGTGGATCAAGGACCTAGGAATTAAACCAGACACCCTGCACCTAATAGAAGAAAAAGTAGGCCCAAATCTCCATCATGTTGGATTAGGCCCTGACTTCCTTAGACTCCAATAGCACAAGAATTAAAATTAAGAATCAATAAATGGGATGGATTCAAAATTAAAAGCTTCTCAGCAAAAGAAACAATCTGTGAGGTGAGTAGAGAGCCTACATTTTGGGAGCAAATTTTTACCACACACACATCAGATACAGCACTAATCTCTAGGATATATAAAGAACTCAAAAAATCTTAACATCACAAAAAAAAAAACAAAAACCCACAAATAACCCAATCAATAAATGGGCCAAGGAGTTGAACAGACACTTTTCAGAAGATGATATACAATCAACAAATATTTTTTAAATGTTCAACATCTCTAGAAATTAGAGAAATGCAAATCAAAACTACTCTAAGATTTTATCTCACTCCAGTCAGAATGGCAGCTATTAAGAATATAAACAACAACAAATGTTGGCGAGGATGTGGGGCAAAGGGCACACTCTTACACTGCTGGTGGGACTGCAAATTGGTGCAACTAATCTGGAAAGCAGCATAGAGAATCTTTGGGAAACTGGAAATGGAACCACCATTTGACCAGCTATCCCACTTCTTGGTCTATACCCAAAGGACTTAAAACCAGCATGCTACAGGGACACAGCCACATCAATGTTTACGGCAGCACAATTCACAATAAATAAACTGTGGGAGCAACTTAGATGCCCTTCAGTAGATGAATGGATAAAGAAAATGTGGTATATTCACACAATGGAATACTATTCAGCATTAAAACAGAATAAAATCATGGCATTTGCAGGTAAATGGATGGAATTGGAAAATATAATGCTAAGTGAAGTTAGCTAATCCCCAAAAAACAAATGCTGAATGTTTTCTCTGATATAAGGATGCTGATTCATAATGGAGTTGGTGGATGCATGGCAGGATCAGACAAACTCTAGATAGCACAAAGGGGAGGCAGGGGAAGAGAGGGGGTATGTGGGTAGGAAAGATGGTGAAATGAAATGGGTATCATTACCCTAAGTACATGGATGAAGACATGAATGGTGTGACTCTACTTTGTGTGCTACCAGAGATATGAAAAATTGTGTTCTATGTGTGTAATAAAAATTGTGATGCATTCTACTGTCATACATATCAAATTAGAATAAAAAAGTTTTTTTAAAATAAATGCTTGGACCACATTCTGTCCTTTAGACTTTGATAATGTTAATTCTTAATATTAATTTTTCCAGGTTGCAGAAAAGAACCTGACCTTTTTAAGGAATGTCAGGATTCTCCTTCTGCACATTTTACAAACTATTTCATTAGGTCAATTAAAATACTTACATATTTTCACCCTTAGTAATAGAGGAAAAAAGATTTATTGTGAGCTTGTTTAATCTGATTATTTTCCTAGCCCTAGGGCAAATTAACTAAATGGATTGTACTTTGAGAAAGAAGCAGTAGAGGAAGAGCTAGAGATAAGCTACAGAGGCAGAGTTAAGCTTGGGACACCTGCTTGGTCAAGGAAAGGAAGGTGCTTAAAGTAGAAGGGCCACTGGGAAAGGGATATGACACCACAAAGACCAGTTTAGAAGAGAACTTCCACGCTTCTACTCAAAATGTTAGATTTAAGTAGGCAAAAAATAAACAAATGAAATTTCTTAACACTGAAAGCCACTGTGTATTACAAATGTCATAGCCATATGTTCTATTTCTCAGAAAGTCATTCTCAAAGCTCTTTGTGCTCAGCAGCATACTTACATGGAAATGTGTCTGCAGTATTGCATCTTAAGGATCCGGAGTTGTTTGCAGCCTACCTTAAGGTCCTCAAGGATTTGGTCAGTAAGTCGGATACAACCAGAGATATCCAAAATATGCAGGTAACGGCATTTTGCTGATAACATCTCTATTGCCAAGTCAGTAATCTGAACACATAGCCAAAGTAAGTACTGGTTATTCAAACTACCCTACAGAAGAACAATGTCTTAGTCAGTTTGGGCTGCCACAATAAAATATGGGCAGCTTAAACATCAAGTGTTTCTCAGATTTTGAGGTTGGGAAATCCAAAATCAAGGTCAATATCAGGATCGTGTGCCTGCACATTTGGTGTCTGGTGAGGCTTCTCTTTCTTGTTTGCAGATGTCTGCCACCTTGCCATATTCTCACATGGCAGTGAGATCATACATACCCTAGTCTCTTCCCATAAGGACAAAATCCCATAATGGAAGCTCCACTCATGATCTCTTCTAAACTGTTTACCTCCCAATGTCTCCACCTCCTGATATTGTCACATGGGTGTGTGTAAGAAAGGTAGAATAGCCAGGTTGCCGAAAGGGACAAGTAGATGAGATAGATGTTTGGAGGCCAGGAGAGGAAGAAGAGCAGAAGCCACAAAGACAACACAAATCCCATCCAAGATGAGCATCCCCACATCTTGTAAGTTTGACAAAAAGTTCAACATATGAATGAGGGGAAGGGGAGCCCAAGATTCAGTCCATAACAAGCAAAATCAAGCCTCTTGCAGATTCTTTCACCCATGTGATGAGCCAAGTTAGTGGTGTAATTCTATTTCTAAATAAGATAGAATAGCAAAATGTCTGCCACAAGTGGCATTGATTTTGTTGTCATCTTAAAATCCACTGATTTGGATGAGAAACTTCATCAGAATTTCCTTTGTGATACCTGTCACAGCAAAATGAGCAACTTATAAAATGTCATAGAGATGGGGCTTGGCTTTAAAATCCATTCTAAGGCTAAAATCCATTCAATTTGGAAAGGTATTCTTAATAACATTGTATGTTTCAAACCTATAAAATATAGGTTTGAATATAGATATTTTTTTCCCTGAAGTTAACTTGCAAATGAGATCAGATTCCTATGAAAAGGGTGTGGACATATCTGATGGATTGTGTGTAAGAAAGGTGGCATCATGGGAAAAGAACAGCAGAAGCCACAGAGACTATATGAATTCCACTCTCTGAGAAACTCTGTTGAATGTTCCCACATCTTGCAAGTTTGACCAGATGTTCTGCAGAGGTAATTCAACTCCATTTCTTAGTTTATTTCACTTACTCAGGGCCTAGCTTTTGAATTTATAGCTGAGCTGAGACTTGCTGCAGAATCAACTAGATTACTCTCCCCAAAGGAATCTTTCTCCAACTGGATTTAATTTCTTATTTTATGTTTGAACATTCTAAAAAACATATGTCATGAGACTTGGCTTTTGTTTTTCAACATAAAGTTAGGAGAATTGTGCAGAAAAGTACTTCAGTTCAAAATATATGCCTTTTAGGTCTGCAAAAATAGATGGTGTCATTGTCTAAGCATGTCCTGTTTCCAGATCATGCTTTGGACCAAGGTTCAAACTGCAACTGATTCTAATGAAAATGCCTTCAGACATTCCTGCTGTACTCTGAGGCTATCATTGAAAAAAATAAACAAAAAAGTACTCAGCACTATAGATAAAAGTAAGGACAATGAGATGACAGAAAAGTTCAGGGCAGATGGAGTTTGGGGTATTAGTAGGTTTTGCTTAATAATGAAAGGTTGAAAAGAAGCTCAATATTTCCTATATATTAAAAGTTCAAGATGCTCAATAAAGTAGGTAACATTTGGAGTATTTATGGATTAAGGACTGGGAACTGGGGATGGAGTCTAGCTACATTTCTAACTCAGAAACAAGGTCTGGTCCCAGGGCAGAGATTATGTTATTCCCAACTCACCTCCCTTTGATTGTCTGGAAGAAGAGGCTTGATTTTGCTTGTTATGGACTGAATCTTGGGCTCCCCTTCCCCTCATTCATTTTGTAGTTGTAGATGGACAGTTGTAGATGGAATTTTGTAATTGTAGATGGACAGCATGCCTTTATTTTATTTGTTTATTTTTATGTGGTGCTGAGGATCAAACCCAGGGCCTCGCACCTGCTAGATGAGCGCTCTACCGCTGAGCCACAATTCCAGCCCCTTGGCTTATTTTTTAAAGGCAGTTATTTTATATTTTAGAAATAACTTAAACACAGAGCCAAATATTAGCAAAAATAGCAAAGGAAAAGCAATTACATATTTATCATTTCAACATAACTACTTTTAATATTCTGGAGTACTTCTTAATTAGTGTAATTTAAGTTCTAGGGAATTTTTAAAGATATTCAACATACTAAACAACACAACTTCCCCAGCACCCCTTCCCCTTGCCTTCTTGGAATGTGTTTATGCCCTATGAAGAAGTTCAGCTAGAAATGTAGCCAAATCATCTCCATCCCCAGTTCCCAGCCCTTAATCCATAAATACCCCAAATATCACCTCCTAGGATAAGACCATGTCAAGCAAGCAGATGCTATCTCAGCAGAGGTCCCTGGACCAATCAGCTCTAAGTGGAACCAACAGATGGCAGCAGCTACATGGCAACCTTGGGTACAACCATTAGCAGAAGAATCACCCAACCCAGACCAGTCCAAACAGATTTTTTTTTTTTTTTTTGGTACCGAGGATTGAACTCAGGGCCACTTAACCACTGAACCATATCCCCAGCCCTTTTTTATATTTTATTTAGAGACAGGGTCTCACTGAGTTGCTTATGTTCTCAATAAGTTGCTGAGGCTGGCTTTGACTCTCTATCCTCCTACCTCAGTTTCCCAAGCCTCTGGCATGTGCCACCTGTCCACAGAATTGTGAGTATATTAAATGGTAGTTCCTTTAAGCTATCAAGTTTTGGGTGGCTGGTTACATAACTAATATATTAGCCAACAACATGTAATGAGAGTCTCACTGTTTCTAATATACTGTAATATGATCCACTGATCTTGTAACCATTTTGAAACCTTTGATTCTCCTATGACAATTTTTAAACTCCTAAACTGAAAGAATTTCCAAACGTGAGCCAGCTACACTAAGAAAATCAAGATGCAAAGGGTAGGTCTGTCCTGGGGAGTCCCAGATTCAGCAAACATCTTCTTTCTGTCCCTTTATATGTAAGTCTGTGGGACTAGGTTGTCACTACAGTAAACATTGTCATTTGCCCAGTGCCTATACCTTTCCATTACTAATTTCCCCATCTGTAAATAAGATTAATTAAAAACAGACAATCGAAAAGTATTGTTAACTCTAATCTCCTAGTGTTATCAAAGCTCTGGAGACATTTCTGATAATGTTGGTGATACATTGTTTCATCATATTACCATGAGTTGGAGAGAAATGCCTCAGGCAAGAGCAGCAGGGTTTTGTGGCCTGGTTCAATTACCTCCTCAGATCTGTGATAACTGCAGGAGAGTTCTCCTGCTAACTTTGTAGCCACCCAGTTCTCTTCATTTTCTTGCTCACAGTTTTCAAGAATAACTGTAGGCTGTGATGGGAGCACAACATCCTGAGATGGAGTACTGGCTAGAGCAACCTGGGTTCTGTTCCAGCCCCCCTTGTAGTGATGTGTCTCTAGTGTTTCTGCTCAGTGTGTCATTTTATCCCTAGGATATAAACCCCACAGAAGGCTATTTTCTGGAGTTACTCAGCTGTGGTGCAAGTAGAATATGTATTGGAGACTTCATTCCCCCTGGAAGCTCTCCTGAGCCTTAGTGGACCTACTCTTAATGAATCCTAGGCTTCTATTGTCCCTTGCTACCTGCTTATAATAAACTGTTTCATGTGACTTATTGCATATGAGTGTGTTCTGTCTCACCAAACTCAGCCAAGTTGGTAAACAGCATCAGATGAACCTATGTCACATCACCTACACCTCCCTGACAGGCAGAAATGCAATTCCACGGCCCTGGCTGGGGTTTGGATAAGATTACTTTTTCTCCATCAAAGTGCATTGCAGAAATATTTTGTCATTGTTGTTCAGGGATTCGCTTTAATTTTTCCCTTCTCCCATGCCCCTCTGTTCTTTGTTTCTAATCATTATTAACTCCTACCTCAAATCATATAAGAATCAAGGATGACAATGTTAAGTAACAGAACAGTACTGAGGCCTCTGAAGTAGGTCCACAACAGCCAGCCTTTCTCCTGATTTGAACTATGTTTGTCTTCCTGGTATTTTAGTGTGGGTATGATGAGGTCACAGTACTGACTCACTGTGGAGGTGAGGTGGCTGCTTGGGAAAATTGGCCTTTTAAGAGATATATAAAATAAACACTTAAAATTCACCTGTGGGCTTGTGGGAAACCTTGCATACAATGATGAGCCAAATACTGGTGTATTTTATGGCCTACTAAAGTAGTGCAAGTGGAATAGATTGGGCTGGGCCACTGGAGATGAAGTGAGATGAGTTGAGGGATATACTCAGGTTGGCCCAAATAATGGTCACCACATTTTAATTAGGATACTTATCTGACCCACAATCTAATTAACAATTCAGATGGTAAAACTAAATCCTACTATTCCTTTACAGTGGGTTTCTGAAATAATCAGAAATAATCAGCATCTACTCCCGTTCCTTTTCCTGCCCTTAGACCTTTGATACACAGTGCAGTTTGTGACATCTTATTTATGTAACATATTCTTTAACTTCCAGGCTGCAACAGAATATCCCAATTTATAGAAAATTTCCCTCAGTTTCTTCTTACCAAAGAAGACAAATCAATCCTCTGCCCAATTTCCGGTTCTTATTGGAACCTTTCCTTTTCTCATCCTGCTACTTTCTTCCATAGTTAGTGGAGCCATTAAAGAGCTTGTGCCCATCTGTCCTGTTTTGCAGCCAGGGCAGTTCCCACTAAGCTATGCGTTGCCCACGTGACCCTTTGCTATGAAACGGAGAGCCCCTGTCAGTTCTCGCTGCTCAAGCAACAGTCAGTTTTCGGTGGTGCTAATATGTGGGTTCCTTGGTCCAGCTTCTACAACCAGGTGATCCTGAGCAGAAACACATCTGGTGTCCCTAGCTCTCTAAACAATTATGTTATTAAAAAGAATTTTGCTGTGAACTTTCTGGCTTAATTTTGTCATGGTTTACCATATGTCTTCCCCTACTGCCTCCTCCTCTTTATTGTTGCACAATTAGCTGTGGAAGATTTAGGAGGTTCCAGCATCCCTCTCTTAATCCACTCATCACACAAACTAAAAACACAGAAGCTGAAGGTGTAGCCTTGCTAGAATACAGGCATCTTGAGAAATGGGGTGACACTGTATGAATAAAAGTCTGTGGGTGTGCACAACAGAAGAGAGTGAAATTGCTAATAACCTTGCAATAACTGAGGATTTTTTAAAAGATTTAAATATTTTTTAACTCTGTGTGTGTGTGTGTGTGTGTGTGTGTGTTGCTGGGGATTGAACTCAGGGCCTCACACATGCTAGACAAGCATTTTACCACCAAGCCACTTGCCCCAGCCCCTCAAGTTTTTCCTGTTACTTTGCTTTGGTCTTTTCCTCTCCATCTGGTAATCCTTGAGTGTCTGTTCATGATTAATAGTGAGAGCTAAAAAGTGCCTGGAAACTCTGAGTGCACAGTGTGGAGCTTCTCCACCATCAACGTCAGTGAAGGGTGGTAGGATGGTTGGTTGTTGGAAAACCCCCCAATGTCAGTATTTTTAGATCTTTCATCTTGGGCTAGCCAGGGCCTGCAGAGAAGAAGCTTCAAGTCTGCCTGGAGGAAAAGATCTAGTAGCCAATTTCTGGATACACTCAGGGAAAAGTGCCTGAGTGTCTTGCACTCAGCATTCAGTCACTACGTCCTCCTTTTCACTTTTGTACCCTCTGCTCACAGCTAAGCAAGCATCCCCCAGCCTGGTTGGGTGTTCCTGACCTAGTGAGTAGAGGGCAAGGATGCTGTTAAACATCCCACAATGCACAGGGTAACCCCACCCCCACTATAAAGAAATATCTTGCCTGAAGGATGGCAAGTTCAAGGCCAGCATGGGCAACTTAATGAGACCCTGTGTTAAAGTAAAATAAAAAGGGCTGAGGATGTAGCTTTATGTTAGAGTGTCCCCAGGTTCAATCCCCAGTGGAAGGAGAAGGAAAGGGAGGGGAAGGCAAGGGATCTCTAGGTTTCTGTTTGTGGTAGGATGGACAACTTCCCAGAGGTGTGCTATAGAGGAGGAAATCTGAGAGACTGTGTGTTCTCAGGAATTTTTTAACTCGGTCTTTCTTACTTTAACCCCTTCTTAACATAGTTCCAGAGGTACAAAGTGCCTCCAAGTTAAAAGATTGTTGTGTAAATCAGATTTTTTTTCTCCAGCTTTCTTTACTGTTGTCTTAGGATTAAAGCTCTCTCATCATGTCTGCTAAATTTGTCCATCTATTTTCAAGCTCTCAAAATTTTGTTGCTCTTTTTCATGACCTATTTTTATTATCTACATGGGCCCTCACTCTTCATCTGCAGCTGTATTGGGGTTTCAAAACAAAATTATTTTTGTATATTGCAATCTACCATGTTCATCCAGAATCCAAGACTTCTAGTTCTTGATATGGGGATATGACCATAGTATATTAAGAGGAAAGAAAGTAGGTTAATGTGTTTTAGAAAGTATAAGTTGATCCTTTAAAAAAAAAAAAGACAAAATTCAAACCTTCTGTTTGTAACTGTTTCTACCTCTTTGTACAAAGAAAAAAATCTATAAAAATAAGTATAAGGGCTGGGGTTGTGGCTCAGTGGTAGAGCGTTTGCCTAGCATGCATGTGATACTGGGTTCAATCTCTGGCACCACATAAAAATAAATAAAATAAAGGTATTGGGTCTATCTACAACTAAAAAAAAAATTAAAAATAAGTATAAATTGCCAACAATGGTTATGTTGAGATAATGGTGGACAATGGATTTTTACTTTTTCCTGTAAGCTTTTATATATAGTCAAATTTTTTTACAATGAATATGTATTTCTTTTGCACAGATGCAAGAAAAATGATGAAACTCAAAAATAAGACAAAAGATGATTGTATGATTTTTCAACGTCATACTGACCCACTTGAGGAAATCTCTAGGGTTTCCATGCATTTGTTTGACATACTATTAGTACTGATTAAAGCCCAAACTCAGGGAAGTTACATGTTAAACTCAGGAAGCATTAGATGTTAACACTATGTTTTGAATGAAGAGAGATAAAAGTTATTTCTATCTGGTGAAACTATACCCTCAAGGTTATGGTTGTATTGTTTTGTTAACCATTAACCACTTTTTGATCTAACCTGACAATCAATCCAACAATCTTTCTTTCTTCAATTCCTATAAATACCAAGTTTGTTCTAATGCTGTTTTCACTGTCTTTATTATTTTGTTAGTTCTCTTATTAATGAATTAAATAAATCTAATACATGTTTATGTTTTTATGTGAATTATGTTTTTAACTTTTTGAAAATTCTACTTTAATGTACATAAACTCCTAAAGCGATTTCCAGTTTGGGGATAGGAAAAAAAATTTGTAAGGAATACCCCAGACATGGCAAAGAAAACCAGTCCTACCATGAGTCCAGCCCATTAATGCTGCCTTGCCTGGGTTCTTTGGAGTGCTTCCATTTGACATGTTTGAGCTCTGACTACTTCACATACCTGTGGACAGCCAGCAATGCTGAGAGATGTGAGGCAAACACAGTAAATGGCTATTGTCTTAATAATATCATCTGACAGCTGGAGACAATAAGAGACATCCAAGTGTTCCAAGAGCACAGAGTTTTTGCAGAATGCCTGCAAGAGAAATCCCTAGGTTAGAGGGTGTTTGTTTGTTTTACTTAGTCTTTATTCAAATGTTATATACACTGTATATATTTAGAGCCATCTTACCTATGGCAGTTTACTTAGTATACATTTCAGTCTCCCAAATATAAACGTTTCCATATTGTCCCAAACAAAATGAAATAACATAACATCCCAAATCTCTTTATAACAAAAGATATTCACATATCAGTTGGACAGCTTAGTAATAAATTCAATCCTACTAATAAAATTAAGTTTTTCTAAAGTTACCTCTGAAGAAGTTTGACTCATATGATAAATAATTATTAGAGTTATATTCAGTCAAATAAATAGAGGAAGATACATCAGGAGGTGAGATTAGATGGCAAACTAATCTCTGGGGTTGACAGTGGAAGCTAATTGAAAAAAAGTGAATTCTTGGAGTTTTAATTTCATTTTCAACATTTATAACCTCCAAGAACTTAGCAAGTCACTTCACTTTCTTGAGCCCCAGTTTCCTCTTCTAATTAGGAAAATAATATCTATTCTCTCACATTATTCTGAAATGATAAAATATTCATCTGAAATTTCTAGGGCTATAAAAAGACCTGGAAGTCATTAGGACTTAGGAATTCTTCTTTTTATCTTGGTATTTCTTAATTTTCAGTAAAAACAAAGAGACCTGAGTGATAAAAATAGACCATGTGGCCCAGAATAGCTAAAGCAATCCTTAGCTAGAAGAGTGAAGCAGGTGGCATCACTATACAGACCTTAAACTATACTATAGAGAAATAGTAACAAAAACAGCATGATATTGGCACCAAAATAGAGTGGTACAGAATAGAGGACACAGAGACAAACCCACATAAATACAGTTATCTAATATTAGACAAAAGTGCCAAAAACATATTTTGGAGAAAAGATAGCCTCGTCAACAAATGGTGCTGGAAAAACTGGAAATCCGTGTGTAATAAAATGAAATTAAAACCCTCTCTCTCACCATGCACAAAATTCAAAGTGGATCAAGGACCTAGGAATTAAACCAGACATCCTGCACCTAATAGAAGAAAAAGTAGGCCCAAATATCCATCATGTCAGATTAGGCCCCTACTTCCTTAATAAGACTCTTATAGCACAAGAACTAAAATCAAGAATCAATAAATGGGATGGATTCAAAATCAAAAGCTTCTTTTCAGCAAAAGAAACAGTGAGGTGAATAGAGAGCCTACAGAATGGGAACAAATTTGTAGCATACACACACATCAGATAGAGCACTAATCTCCAGGATATATAAAGAACTCAAAATCTTAACACCAAAAAAAAACACCACAAATAATCCAATCAATAAATGGGCCAAAAAATTGAACAGACACTTCTCAGAAGATGATAAACAATCAATCAACAAATATGTAAAAAAAAAAAAAGTTCAACATCTCTAGAAATTAGAGAAATGCAAATCACTCCTGTCCTGTCAGAATGGCAGCTATTAAGAATACAAACAACAAGTGTTGGTGAGGATGTGGGGCAAAGGGCACACTCTTACACTGCTGGTGGGACTGCAAATTGGTGCAACCAATCTGGAAAGAAGCATGGAGAATCTATGGAAAACTGGGAATGGCACCACCATTTGACCAGCTATCCCACTTCTTGGTTTATGCCCAAAGGACTTAAAAACAGCATGCTACAGGGACACAGCCACATCAATGTTTATGGCAGCACAATTCACAATAGCTAAATTGTGAATCCAATCTAGATGCCCTTCAGTGGATGAATGGATAAAGAAAATTTAGCATATATACACAATGGAATATTAATATGTTAAAAGAGAATAAAATCATGGCATTTGCAGGTAAATGGATGGAGTTGGAGAATATAATGCTAAGTGAAGTTAGCCAATCCCAAAAAACAAATGCCGAATGTCTTCTCTGATATAAGGATGCAGATTCATAAAGGGGGTTGGGAGGGAGCATGGGAGGAATAGAGGAATTTTAGATAGGGCAAAGGAGAGGGAGGGGAAGGTGGGGACATGGGGGAAGGAAAGACAGTGGAATGAGACAGACATCATTACCCTAAATATGTGTACGAAAACATGAATGGTGTGACTCTACTTTGGGTTCATCAGAGACAATGAAAAATTGTGCTCTTTTTGTGTAATATAAGTTGAATTGCACTCTGTTGTCACATATAACTAGTAATTAATAAAATTTAAAAATTGTAGGAAAAAACCATAAATATAATCTGAATGCTTTCCTGGTTAAAAGCTTGCCATTATTTTCAGAATAAAAATCACATTCTTTTAAAAAAAATTAAATAAATAAATAAATAAATAAACAAACAAACCATGTAGAAATAACAGTTAAGAGTTTACAACCCAGCAGTTTAAAAAGAATAAAATGGTACACAAAGGTAAACACTAACAGTAATTACAAAGAAAGATTAATAAGTCAAGACAAGTAGAAATTGGAAATCAGCAACTATTCAAGATAATATTTATAAGAAAAATCCTTTGCCCAAATTTCAAGAATTAGAACTATCTTCATACTCAATCATTCCCAAAGGTTTTGCCTCATTTTAAAGCAGCTCAAGTTCTAAAAGTATTAAATTATAATAATTATTAAATTTTAATAAACGTACAGGATTACTAGTGAAGTAATCCTTATTTATATGTAAAAATGGATGTCCATTGGACTGCCTGTTATTTTCCTTTTAAAACTGAGGCAAAGACCTGGGCTACTGGCTCAGTTCATGGCCATCAGGCTGACTCTAGAGGTAGAACCACCTGTGGTTTTCTCTCATACTGCTTATGCCTAGTTCCTTTTGTTTCAGCTCTAAGATTGGAAAGAACTAGTTACCCAGTGTTCTTCAGTGAGTTCATAGAAGAAGGACAATTATCAGGAGAAGCAATTTAGCACAGAAGACAAGACTGGGACGGTGGCATCATGCAAAGTGGGGTCAGAAGCCTGGCTCTGCCACTGTGTGGGTTACTACACCTCTCCAAGCCATGGTGTCTCATTGGGTAAAACAGAAATAACATTCATATTAAAAGGGATTGTGGAGATGATATGAAATTATACATACACATATATGGTTTCTGACAAAATATAGATTCTTGAGCAATCTATAAAATTTTATATTGTATACAGTGTTATTTGAGGGACAATATGTAGCACATTGGTTAGTGCTTGGCACATAGTAAGCACTCTATGAATTTTAATTACTGCTTAAGCAACACATACATTAAATTGGAGCCATACAGACAAGGTTAACTTGGCCTGTGATCAAGGATGATATACATTTTTTTTCCCCATTAGGAGGGAAAGGGTCTATTGTACAACAAACAGGGTTACTAAAGTTAATAGTAGTGTATTGTATACTTGAAAATTTCTGAGAGTAGATTTTTTTTTAAATGTGAGAAATAATGAGAATGTGAGATGAAGGGTATATTAATTAGCTTGGTGTAGCTATTCCACAATGTATTCATATATTGAAACGTCATGTTATATTCCATAAATAAATATAATTTTGTTAATTAAAAATGTAAAATTATTAGCAGCACAATTCATAATAGCTAAACTGTGGAACCAACTCAGATGCCCTTCAGTAGATAAATGGATAAAAATGTGGCATTTATACACAATGGAATATTACTCAGCAGTAAAAGAGAATAAAATCATGGCATTTGCAGGTAAATGAATGGAGTTAGAGAAGATAATGCTAAGTGAAGTTATCCAATCCCCAAAAAACAAATGCTGAATGTTTTCTCTGATATAAGGAGTCTGATTCCTAGTAGGGTAGGGAGGAGCAGCATAGGAGGAATAGACAAACCCTAGATAGGGCACAGGGGTGGAAGGAGGACATGGGGTTAGAAATGATGGTGGAATGTGATGAACATCATTATCCAAAGTCATGTATGAAGACACGAATTGGTGTGAATATACTTTATATAAAATCAGAGATATGAAAAAAATGTGCTCTATATGTGTAATATGAATTTTAATGCATTCTGCTGTCATATATTAAAAAATCAATTAAAAAAAATCTGAGCAATGAAAGTTGGAAATTTAAAATGTAAAATCATTAAAAAGAATAAAATAAATGTTAACTCTTACTGGGATTTTTGTATGACATAATAATAATAATAATAATAACAACAACAATAATCACTTATGCTTTCAGAAAAAACAAAAGATATAGGTCATTTAACCTTAAATCATCTTTTTCTGATCACAACAGCAAACAGTAATAATTCCTTACTGTGATCTCATACAAACTTGTCTTTTTCACCTGATTCAGCACTTAAAGTATTTGACTCATTCTTGCATTATGACTTTCATGGAAATCTGTCTTGTCTAGCAACTACATGATGTTGAAAATTGGAAACAACTACTAGTCAGGTCTGGAGATTTAAAAAAAAAAAGCCTCGGGGGCACACCCAGAATGACACAGAAGGGAAGCTATCTTCAAATGTTTGGAATCAATGGCCTTGAATCTGAACTCAGAGATTCACAGTCTTTTCAATAAGAATTCAGTAAGTCTTGTGGTACTGTCTGTAACTCTGCTAGTTTTAATACCCCCTCACAAGCATAATGTTTAGAAGATAGTAAATTCTCAATAATTACCAGCTAGTTGGTCGATCCTATATAAGTGTCTTCCAGAAAATTAAGAAGTCTGTTTTAATAATATAAGAATGTTGCAGGGAACAGGATAACATTGTTTTCTACTTAGAGAATGGATAGAGTTTGAGGAACCAGAGCAAATTGATAGCAAGAAAGAATATTTAAACTTTAAGAATAATTTACTGAAAGAAGAGCAGCTTTAAAGGGAAATTAAACCCTCTTCAGCAGCATCTGCCAATGTCTTTGGTCTATTCAAACCAATCCTGCTTTATGCCTTTTCAAAGCTCTTAATATCCTTTGAAACAATTTCTCCAATGTTTTAAATTAAATAACTTATAAAATGACTATAAGCTACATGCATGGTAGCATTAAATCATTTGTCATACACAACTTGAT